CATAACTTGTTCTTGGAGGTCCAAAATAATTGCGCACCGGTCAAGATGGTTAAAATTAGATCCAAAGCTAATCCATTTATCATAGCAGAAATTCGTCAACTGACGAGAACACGCGACCAATGGCGCAAACCTGCTTCGAAAACAAAGGATCCTCTTCACTGGAATGGATACAAATTCTTTCGTCTAGGAGTTAAGAGGGAGATCCCAGTAGCTGAAAAAGCTTACGTCAGGGCTCAAATTGTAGAGAGTAAAGGACATTCTAACTCTACCTGAAAAGTCACTAATCGTTGTCTGCTACGTAAGGATCAAGATGGCTCCATGGATTTTGAAGATCCCACTGGGTTGGCTAATAGACTTAAAGAATTTTCCACTTCTGTTGGCGGCGTGAGCGCCAGAAAAGCAAGCGAGTTGGCTTCACAAAACGAGTTCAATTCGAATTTCGAACCGTTACCTCCTGCTTCTGTTTCTTCCACCAGAGGTCAAGAATTATTCAAACTTAGTAAAGCCACGGAATATAAGGTACAAAATGTGATCAGAAGATAACCATCTAACAAGGCTTCAGGAATGGACAAAATATCTTCTAGAATATTAAAAAACAGCCTTCCTTTCACACTTGCGACAGTAACCCGCATTGTAAACACCTCTTTCATTACCAACGCGTTCAAGTACTTATCTAAAAACAATATTTTGACCGTAAATCAGAACGGCCGGAAACAGTGTTCGAATTAGCGATGCAGTTTCTAAGTTTTCTAAAACACTCCCTCTTAAGTTTGGCGTCCCACAAGGGTCTATTTGTTTACTATTTATGTTGATGACCTTCTTTCTGTTCCGGAGTGTTGTATTTTTGCTTCCTATGTCGACGACTGCAAGTTGTACCTTTCCTTCCCACTTGCAGACTCAACCGTGGCCATTTCTGCCTTGAACTACGATCTTACAAAAATATGTCAGTGGTGCTGTAAAAATTCGCCTCTGATCAACCCAAGTAAAACGTTCTGATATTTGGAGTACCACAACTACTGCGGAGACTTCCACCATTGAAACTAAAACTTTTTAATAAACAAATATCAACTGCGACTGTCGCCAAAGACCTAGGCGTTTAGTTGGATGCAAACCTCAGTTGTAACGAACATATTACTATGAGTGTTTCAAGCTGTCTATTTAAGTTAAAACAAATCAATAGAATTAAACATCTTTTGGATAGGAAAAGGCTGTTGCTACTTGTATGAATGCCTTCGTTTTTAGCAAATTATTGTATTGCTCAAGCGTCTGGAGCAATACCAGCAATAGCAACATTGAAAAATTACAAAAAGTTCAAAACTTTGCTGGACGAATTGTTTTGGGACTTAGCAGATATGACCATATTTCCGAAGGACTAAGATCATTGAATTGGCTCCCTATTAAAGATAGAACTTAATTGAATGATGCAACCATGGTTTTTAAGTGCATTAATAATTTTGCTCCAGACTACCTTGCAAATGAGTTTATGCTGCGTTCTTGTGCTCACAACAGGCAAACTCGATCAGCTAGTATCCTAGATATACCCTTTTGCTGCCTGTCAACTGGTCATAGATCTTTTGCTTATAAAGGAGCGAAACTGTGTAACTCATTAAGCAGCAATCTTAAGTGTTTAAAATGTCCCAAGAAATTTACGTTTCAATTTACTTAGCTGTGTTACGAGTGATCGTTAAGTGGAAATGATTTTCTGTAGCTAAACAGAACGCAGGGATGTCGGAACAGCAGCAAAGATGATTTACTCCTGATGTACGTAGTCCTCATAGGTGCAAAACTCTGAAACAACTCGTTACAGTAAACACTGATATACAGTCTCTGCGAGACTTCAAATAATCACAACCGCCGTTAAACTCAACCTCAGTCTCACTTTTGAGTAAACTCTACCTCTGTCGCACTACTCAGCTTGTGAAAAACCAGTTATGCATCTAGTTACACAAATTGACTAAAATACTTAACAGCACGAGATTCTAGAACTTTCCGGCCAACCTAATTATAGTAGCATTCCAACGTTTTAATATTTGCAGCATTTTACACGGACTTGAAAAACCACTGATGCACAGTGATGCGAAACTGATTAAATATTCAAGAAACTTCTAGGCTTAAATAAGCATACTCACGACACTTCTAAACAGTTCCGCAAGTCACGCAACAATTTTTCGTAACAAGCTGCTCTTAGGTTAATTTCATTATTCAAAATTTGTATTCTTTTGATATATATATTTAGCTGTAACTATAGTTTTATATTCTTTAATTTTAGGTTTATTTCTTTAAACTTTTTTTATTGTTGCTGAAAAACCCATTCAGGGAGCTTTAATAAAGGTCTGTATCTGTATCTGTAATTTCAGTCTTCTATTTTGCGCAGACATCAAAAGGGTGGATTGCGCAAGAATATTGCTTATGAGTACAAGTGCACCTGTCCCGATGGATACAGCCTGCAGCCATTGTGAACAAGGAAAGTGGACGGCTTTTTTTTTTCATGCTTAAGGCCACTGATGATTATTTTGTTTTTATCCATCCTCATGGAATGAAATAGCACGCACTTTTGCCGAAATACCACAATGCTCTCTGATATGCAGATGTTGTTGGTGTTAGTTCTCAGTACGGATTGCCGTGCCATGTTTCAACTCCTTGACAGCTTATATACTGTGAATGAAATAACAACATTGTTTAAATATTTATAAATAAATGTTTAAAATTACTTCATTTTCCGGCTTGGATATACTTTAAATTTTCCCTATCAATGCTTGTGATTCTTTGAATTTTTAGCGTTTGTGTACTTACCTTGAATCCGAATGTATCACACAAACGAAGGCGACCTCATTGAAAGCTAACCTGATCTAACTTCTTTGACAATGCAAACCGTAGGATGCTAAGCTTACAGAATGAAAGATTTGAAGGTGAATCCTGATAGTCTGCTGTTATGTAAATTATAGCGATATGACAGAAAAGAGTATTCATTTGCGGCAACCCAATAAGATGTCAAGAGTTAAGAGAGATCAGCTGTTTATTTTGGCAGAATATTACTGGAAGTAGAATTGTATTTCTCCTCAACTCAAGTGTAACTGGCTATGTGTAGTCTACTACAAAGTGTGTTTTATTTATGAGAATAAGTGTTGGTTACGAAGAGAGTTTTTCTTTTAAGACAATAAGTGCTGAATAAATTATAAAGAAACTGCCGGATACCAATTACCATTTCAACAACGGCATTGAAGCTTCTATAGTTCACAACAACATTTGAATGATAACAATTAATAGAGTGGATCTGAAATTTTAAGTGAGTATCAATTATTAACTTCACAACGGCTGTGAGGCTTCTAGAGTTGACCAGAACACTTTAATGACAACAACTGATAAACTAGATTTGAATTTTAAGGGAAGGCGAAATTCACAGTTTCGTTTTGTTTTTATTTTTGATTCCTTGAATAAGATGGTATATTTCAGGGTTTATTCAGACAGAAATGGCTGACAAAATTAGCACTTCGCACGGACAAATATGTCTCTTTAACATTTCATGAACGATTACAATATTAATTATTCTTTTATTCAGCTCTCAGAGCATCCTTTCCACTTGACTACGATTGGAAAGAAAAATATTAAATAAACGTCTCTGAACTCCTTTTAAATAAACTGAAATATTTTCGAAGCTTTTACAAAGCTGCGTGTACACACCGAAGGCAGAGTCTCGACCGAAAAAAAACGAAATGAATTTTTTTCTGTGTGGTGTTCTAGTTGGGTTATTTTAAAATATCTGAAATCGAAGTATGTCAGGCAATTCTTTGTAAGGAAGCGTCTCTTTCCTGTCCTGTGATAACTCGCAATCATCGCCGACTTAAAGGTTTCACGTTCAAAACATTTCACCTTGCAAGCCTGACATCCTGTGGTTTGCTATGTCAGAGAGACCCTCGATGTGTTTCAATAAATTTCAGAAAAGTTTTCAAAAGTGAGGGAACCTGTGAGTTGAACGACAGAGGAGTTCTCCTTACTAAGAAAGGAAACGAATTGGAATACGAAGAAGAAGCAATTTACACCCAATTTTACGACACGAAGGTAACCAAAAAAGTCTCGATAAAAGACGAAGAAGGTGTTACTGATTCCACGAGACATTTGTCTTACATTCGTGGTATCTTTCTCATAAACATTTTTATATTTCGACGACAGATGTGAAAAATTTCTATCTCTCATATTTTTCTTTGAATTTTTTTATCGTTTGGCCTTCAATTAGCTCACTAGTGCAGTCTCCATACAGAGATGAACCCGGAAGACTAGTTGATTTCCCGATAAAATAAAAAATGAATGATGTTTTATGTTTTCAGCAATACTGTAAGGCATCCAAGGAAGATTTAGAAGTCGTCAAATGCAAATGTAAGTAGTGTTGGTTTGAAAGGTATTCTTGAGGTTAATGTCAACGATCTCGTGTTTAAATTACAATGAGTTTCTTGTCCTGGCTGCTTCTTGTCTCTCCGCCAATAGTTACGGAGTCTGCCGTCCTCGCGAACCTTCGCGAACCTTCGCAAACATTCCCGAACCTGCTTGAAACACTCCAATTCTTATAGTTTCCTTGAAAGTCCACGAATGCTGTCAAAAAAAATTGCCGAGTAAATTGTTGTTTAGGTCACTTCTAAATCAAAGTGGAAATCAAGCCTTTAATTCCCACGAGTGACCAAGACAGAATTTCTCCTTATAATAACCATACAATATCAATCAGACAGGTGATGAGAATTATGAAAAATATGAGTCCTCCTTTATTCCATGATGAAAAAATCAATATCTGTGTGATTGTATTTCTGTGTCTCAATTTCAGGTGCGGAATCACCAAAAGTCCCAGTTCCCCTCGGCATGGAAAGCGGTGCTATTTTTGACTCACAGATCACCGCTTCCTCCGTGTTTAATGATAGACATGCCGCACCGAATGTTAGATTACATTTCCAAGGATCCAAAAACCCGGTCAGATATGCTGGCTGGGTACCTGGAGTGAAAAACACTAACCAATGGCTGCAAGTGGATCTTCAGCAAACCACAAGGGTAATAGGCATAGCGACGCTGGGAGACATGATTGGGATCAGTGGGTTACTAAATACAAGCTACAATATGGCGATGATGGACTAACTTTCAGGATTTACAAGCGAAACGTAGACACATTAGACACGGTATCAAAACGAAAGACTTTTTGAACATGATGTTTTTTTCCTTCTTGCTGTAGGGTGGGACAACGAAAAACAATTAGTCCCCAAGAGCGATAGAACCTGAGATCTTCGAATTCTTCGCTCCAATACACTAACGCTTCGCCACAGTGACCTTACAGACAACTGAGCTATCACGAGGTCCATCATGTGTTCAAATATGTACTTTTCTTTTTTTGCTTTTGGTGGGTCTGAGACGAGGTCGAGATACTTGAGAACACTAGAGAACGAGTAGTAAAAAATTAGTGAGATCAAACTGTACTCGTTTATATCTATGTTTGTATTTGATGGCTGATAAACATGTAGAAAAGCATTAACTAAAGTTCTAGGTTTAGACCTACTGCTTCTGTATAATGCATACATTCGTCAATTCTACATCCCACAATACTCTACTCAGGTTTTCCCAGGAAACACTGACAGGGACACAGTTGTGTATCATGATCTTAACCCGGTCATTGATGCTCGCTTCGTTCGAGTTCTTCCGATGGAATGGTTTGACTTTATCGGGATGAAAATGGAGCTTTACTCTTGTCAAAGTAAGTTATTGGTTGCACTGTTTATCCCTGGCTGGATTATTGTGCTTAACTTTCAGAAATGATCAACATGGATTTTCTCCCTATAATGTCCTTACCTTACCCAGCAAACAGGTTATAAGAATATTCAAACTTATCAGGTAGAAGTTGTCATCTTGGTCTTATATCAAATTCTTCTAACTAATTTACAAGGATATGTGTAGCAGCTGAAGGGGAGATTTGTTAATTACGAGTATGATTATCAGAGAGAATTGGACGACTCGAGGTTTTGTCACCAATTAATCAAAACTATGCAAACATTTAAGAAAGAGACTGGAACATCGGTTATACGTCTTCATAAAATTAAAAAAAACAAGAGTTAAATCGGCGAAACATCACGCACATGACGCGTTCTGTCCACTTACGCAGGCATGACGTGTTAATTGTCCCTATAGCTGTCCTATTACACTGTCCAATTACATACATGACGCGTACACTGTCCTATTAGTGCTCTACTCGGGCTGGTGATAACCAATCACGTTTGAGAGTTTTGTTATAGTTTTTCGGGAACCTCTTCCGAGGAGAGAATTAGCCTCTCATTCCAAAGATGGAATATCTTCATCATCACACGTGGAATTGTACTCTAATATTCCGTCTTCCTCTTCTTCTTGTTTCCCACTGTTTTCTTGCTGCTCCTCGAAATCAGAGTGTTCGAGGCTGACCCGCCCGCCCTGCTAAATTTCTCTCTGATAGAGGTACAACTGGGCAGTTCAACCTCTTGCCATCGGTGTTTCCTATCTGACAGAGCGCTGACGCACTGCAAAACGATGTTTACTTTTGCTGCAAAAAAAATGTTTATGTCCAGTCCGCACATCTTCTGTATGCTCTGCGGTGCCATTAGTGCAGTTGGTAACGGTTAAACTACTGACAGGATCATGGCACGTTCGGATAGAGGATACCAAGAATTTAGATTTGTAAAATAATACGCCGCCCAATTGGTTCGCCTCTTTAAGCCTTCTTTTGCTGCATTTCCAAAGTTTCTTGCGTAATCTAACACAGTGAAAAATTTATCTTTGTGATACACAACCGAGCAAATATGAGCCTCGTCTAATGTCAAACAACTCAACAGTTACGAGTGTCATATCGGTATAATTCTGAGACTTGCTGGAGGGTTTCAAGTCCTTTAGACGCAGCAGTCTTAGATACCAAGTTACTCTGTGAACCATTGAGGATTTTTTGGTAAACTGGCAACTTCGCTTCTCACAGAATTTTCGTTCCCGCGCAATAGTTGAAGAGTTTCGCTGACCAACCCGACCGCCCCTTGAATGCTAGTGAGCCTGTGCGCCTGGTGCTTTTCATGGACTGAGAAGATCAATTTCTTCATTCATTCCCGTTAGCGGACATCCTGGTTCTCGATTCGTTTGAAGTGATTACTTCCCGAATCCTGCTCCTCAAAATCACTGATTCCCGCGTCCCGTTCACTATAGCAATCCAGCATCTCGCTTCCCTCTTACTCAAAATTCCCGGATCTCAGCCTTTAAAAAAGCCCAATCCCAGATCCTGAGAAACTTATTAGGGACCCTCTTATATACTCTGAAAGAAAATAACACTATTGTTAACATAAGCTATTTAAAATTCGTTCAGAGTCCGGCTTGGGTATACTTCAAATTTTCCCTACTCAATGCTCCCTTTGAAAATTTCTTTATCACATACAATGCCAATTCTTAGCGTTTGTATACTTATCTTGAATACCAATGTGTCACAAAAACAAACTTCACTGGAAGCTAACCTAATTTAACTTCTTTAACATTGCAGACCGTAGGACCCCAAGCTTATAGAATAAAATATTTGAAGGTGAATCCTGATAGTCGGCTATTATGTAAGTTATAGCGATATGAGAGAACAGAGTTTACATTTGAGACAAGCCAATAAGTTGACAAGAGTTTAGGAAGATCAGATGCTTATTTTTGCAGAATATGACTGGAAGTAGAATCGCATTTATCCTCAACTCAGATGTAACCGGCTATGTGAAGTTTACTACAAAGTATATTTTATTTATGAGAATAAGTGTTGGTTACGAAGAAAGTTTTTCTTTTAAGACAATAAGTGCTGAATAAATTATAAAGAAACTGCCGGATACCAATTACCATTTCAACAACTGCATTGAAGCCTCTATAGTTCACAATAGCATTCTAATGATAACAATTGATAAAGTGGGTCTGAAATTTTAGCTGAGTATCAATTGTTAACTTCAGAACGGCAATAAGGCCACTAGAGTTGACCAGAAATTTAAATGACGACAACTGATAAACTAGATTTGAATTTAAAGGGGAGGCGAAATTCACAGATTTTTTTTTGTTCCTTGAATAAGATGGTATATTTCAATGTTTATTCATACAGAAATGGCTGACGTAATTAACACTTGGCACAGACGAATACTTCTCTTTAACATTTAATGAACGATTACAATATTCATTATTCTGTTATTCAGCGCTCAGAGCATTCTTTCAATTAGCCCGTCCATTTGACTATAATGGGAAAGAAAAGAAATATATTTGAAAAGAAGACTATTAAATAAACATCTAAGAACTCCTTTTAAATTAATTAAAATCTTCCCGAAGCTGTTACAAAGTTGAGTATACGCACCGAAGGCAAAGTCTTGACCAAAAAAAACCGAAATGAATTTTTTTCTGTGTGCTGTTTTAGTTGTGTTATTAATGTCCGAAGTCGTAACATCTCAAGCATTTCTTTGTAAGGAAGCATCTCTTTCTTGTCCTGTGATAACTCACAATAATCGCCGACTTAAAGGCTTTACGCTAAAAACATTTCACTTTACAAGCCTGATATCCTGCGGTTTGCAATGTCAGAGAGACCCTCGATGCGTTTCAACAAATTTCAGAAAAGTTTCCAAAGCTAAAGGAACCTGTGAGTTAAACGACAGAGGAGTCTTCTCTCTTGAGGAAGGAAAAGAACTGGAATATGACGAAGAAGCTATTTACACTCAATTATATGTCAAAAAGGTAACAAAAATTTGTCTTATCTATTTTAAGTAATGATCCACACAAGAAGTGGGCATCCTCAAAAAGTTTGTATGTGTCTACTCACCGGAACGCACCTAAATAAAAGACGGAAAAGCTACGATCTTGGCTTTGTCACGAGAAGGGGAGTAAGCTTACGGATGAATTTTGTGTTGGGTGATAGTGGAATATCAGAACACGAAATCCTCTGACCTGAGATTTCATTTAATTCGTGACATCTTTCTGGTAAAATGATTATCTTTTCGACGTTAGAAGTACAAATTTACTATCTGTCTTATCTGTCTTAGTAATGTGCCTATCCTTTGATCCTTTTCAAGTTATGCTATGATGCAATGTCGAATTTTCATCAGTCTATTGATAAACGCGAGCGGAGAATGGTTCGCGGCGTTACTAGGAATATTGACAAATAAAAAAATGGGCTACTTTCCAAATTTTCAGTATCTTTGGATAAATGACATTTGCAAAGTCCTCCCAAGAACAATGCAGTTAGAGTTAATTAAGTTGGGTATTCTTAAAATAATTTTGTGGACTGAAAGAAGGTAACATTCATGATTTGAGACACAGAACTGAAATTTTCAGCTTTGTGCTAATAATTTAACGATGGGTCTCTATTTGATGAATAACCAAGATGACTAATTAATTTCCTTAAAAAAAAAGATATTCTTATATCTGAGCAGCACAACTGTCAGGTTTTCAAGGAAGAGTTTAAAGTCGTCAGCTGCAAATGTAAGTAGGGCTGAATAGAAAAATATTCTCAAAATTAATGTCTAAGATCCTGCACTTACATCACTGAGGAGTTACTAGTCTCAGCCGCCTCTTGCCTTTGTGTCAAGAGGCTTCCCGTCAATACTTGCGGAGTCTCCCTCATCTTCTTCGGATTTACAAGAGTAGCTGTATAGCTAATTTCTCCGAGAAAAAGAAAAAGAAAAAGAAAAACAGAAAATAAATAAATAAAAGTAAAATCCTATATTATATACAGTACATTAACCACTATAAGTAACAAATGCATTGATGTTCAAAAGAAATTTGGCAAATTTTAGTTCTAAACTCATTCAAGGACGTCAATGATCTTAGGTCCACTTTTAGTTTGTTCAATATTTTTGCAGAAGTGTATCTGAAGGAATGAAGACCATAAGAGGTTGTGTTAACGTATGAGATAACAAGTTTCCTTGATCCTCGTAGGTTGCGTTCAGTATTTCTCATTTGAAAAAGATCATCGTTCGGCATCGTTTCAAATTAGATTGCCTTAAAAACTGTTTTCATCATGTCTTGGCACCTGATACCACACACTACATAGATCACTAGAATTGAATTTGCTCAGTAGCTCCTGGTAGTGCAGAGACTTCTCGTCCAGACCATCGCCGTGAACCTCCCCGAACCATTTCTGGACGTCGTATATCTGCTACCTTCAAAGTCCTCGAGTGTGGTTTAAAAGAAAAAATATTGCGCGGGAAAATACTGCGAGGGTCATTTCTGAACAAAACAAAAAGATGAAGAAAATAAGAAGCTCCCTAAGACGTTGAAGATTCGTATTTTCCCAATTAAAACTCATTCATAATTTCAAATGCAGTCTGTCCCTACGAAAACGCATTGCGAAACTTGAACGCGATAACCTTAAACACATCTTGGGATTGTACAGGGCAATCCCTATGCAAAAACCTCTGGATATTCCGAAGGTACCGTGGTATTAATTACCGTGCGGGGTACGAGATGACATTTAAGAACTTGACCATCACTTGAAGTTCAGAGACTTTTAATATTCGGAGAGTTCTCATCTGTTAATTTTTTTCTAATTTGGATCCTAAAGACGAAATCGAAACTTTAAACTGCAGTGATTTTGATATTCCTGTTCGAACGTTGAAAGTATCTGCAGTCATTAATGGTAGCCTTCACAATACGTGTGATTGTGTTTCTCTGTCCAAAATACAGGTGAAGAGTCATCAAAAGGCCCAGTTCCCCTAGGTATGGAAAGTGGAGTTATTACTGACTCGCAGATCAGTGCATCGTCCGTGTACAGTAATCAACATGTCCCACAAAATGCCAGGTTACACTTCAAGGGGGCCAAAGCCCCGTTTGTATCTGCTGGCTGGCGAGCTCGTGAGCGAAACACCAACCAGTGGCTTCAAGTGGATCTTCAGCAAACCACAAGGGTAATAGGCATAGCGACGCAAGGGAGACATGATTACGATCAGTGGGTTACTAAATACAAGCTACAACATGGCGATGATGGACAACCTTACAGTGTCTACAGGCGAAACGGAGACATATCAGACACGGTATAAACGAGAATGACTTTTTGAGCAAGATGCTTTTTTTCCTTTTTGCTGCGAGGGTGAACCAAAGAAAAACAATTAAGAGTTTCCATGAGTTATAGAACCTCAGAGATTCGAATTCTGCGCTTCAATGCCCTAACGCTACGCCATAGCGACTTTACAGGCAGCTGAGCCATTACAAGGTTCAGCTGAGCTATTACGAGGTCCATCATATGTTCAGACATGAGCTTTTCTCTTTTTGCTTTTTGTGAAGTCGAGATACTTGAGAACGCTAGAGAACGAGTAGTAGAATTTAGTGAGATCAAACTGTATTAGTTTATATCTATATTTATGTTTGATTGCTGATAAACATGTAGAAAAGCATCTACTAAGGTTCTAGGTTTAGAGTTAGCGCTCCTGTGTAATGCATAGCTTCGTCAACTTTACATCCCACAATATTCTACTCAGGTTTTCCCAGGAAACACTGACAGGGACACAGTTGTGTATCACGATATTAACCCGGTCATTGATGCTCGCTTCGTTCGAGTTCTTCCGATGGATTGGATTGGCGCCATCGGAATGAGAATGGAGCTTTACTCTTGTCAAAGTAAGTTACTGGCTGGATTATTGTGCTTCACTCTAAGAAATGATCACCATAAAACTTCTCCCTTTAATATAAAGAAAAACACCATTTAACTTGGCGAAATGCGAGGCAATAGCGCGCGTACACGACGCGTTCTATCCGTTTACGCAGGTTTCACGTGTTTCTTATAACATCCTCTTCAACTGTCCTATTATACTGTCCAATTACAAGCATGATGCGTACACTGTCCTCTAAGTGATCAAATAAGGCTAGTGATAACGAAATACCTTCAAACATTTTTTCATTCTTTTGATTACATACGTAATTGCAAGATGGCAGTGAAGCTCAAACATTTTATATGGCATCCCCAACCCTAACCCTAAACCCTAAACCCTAGCCCTAACCCTGACCTAACCCTAACCCTGAGCAATTTTTTAAGTAATGAACATGTAACTTCTTTTTAGCGTTTATTTTCAGAATACGTCATCCAGCGAGCATACAGATGAAAAGATGAGATGAATCTATCAGCTGATAGGTACTTTTTCTGATAGAGCACCAAATTTTGCACTATGTCTACTGGTAAACGCATAATAGCTGAAAGGATGAATTTTCAATCAAATCTTGAAAGTCTAACGGTTAAGGCGGGGGAATTGAAATAAATGGCATTGAACTATATTGTGCGTGCTCGCTTATGATGTTTTGTCTCCATATTTTCTTATTTGTAGACGAATAACAGAAGTTTACGAAGAATATCACTGTGATGTAATCCCTCCTTTGCTGACACGATGTAATCCTTGTTTGTGGGCTACAAAGTGCAACACCTACTTGACTGATGCACCAATTAATTATCGTTATTAATAACAGATTGAATAGTAGTTTAAGCGTATAAGTCATTATTATTAATGATGTGAGCGAAATGCACCAATGACAGCACATAAAAACGCACCTGTGAAAACGAACGAACGAATATTCTCTTTTTGGAGCCTCATGTTCAATTAACCTCAGTGCCTGACGAAGACCAAAGGTGTGGTGTTCGAAATGTAGCTTATGTTTGGATGGCCTCGATGAAAACCAAGGTAGTGTCTTGTAATAAAATATGTAATTTTTCATGGTCTCTTAACTACTTCAACAATGTAATTGGTTTTGTTTCGTTGGAAGTGGATACATAAGTCAGTGTTCATTATGAAAAGAGCGGCAAGGAACCTCTGATGAGTTGGCATGCCGTTAAAACGTGTTTACCAAGTGTTTTAGTTAAACCTGCCAAAATGCAAATGAATATCGCGTGTGAGTGTATACTCAGATAGCCAGAGATATTATGCTTTGGAATTGTTGAAAATTAATAGCACAATAAAGGAACTTTGTACAGCTGTTAAGGTTCAGAGACTGGTATTACACTTCTTAGGGCGAAACTGGTATTGATTAATAATTATAATAATAATGATAAAAATATTGATAATAATAATAACATTGATTAAAAATTGGCATTGAACACCTTGGCTCTTCTAGTCCGCAACAGGAAAATATTGAAAGTCCTTAACTTTTCGCGACAGACGAATCTGAGATTAATATGATAAAAATACTTCATTTATATAATGCTATTTCTATCGCTATCCAATAGCGCTATGCAATGATTTGAAAATATCTCACGTAGAAATATCTAGAACATGAGTACGATAAACTAACTAATAAAATAACTAAGCTGTCAAAATTAGTATAAAAACTAAGAACAATAAAACATCGTAATGAAATTTACTAACTAACTACCTACCTACCTATCTAAAGAACTATTTAACTGACGAACCAATAGTAAAATATCTGGTTAAAAAGCTTTCCTAAAAGATGTGTTTTAAGATTGCGCTTGAATTGCAACAAATTGACGCTTGAGCGGATTTCCAGCGGCAGTGCGTTCCAGAGTTTAGCCGAGGCTACAGAAAATGATCTTGAACCATATCTGGTAAGTTTGTACACAACGTCAACCAAACGATGGCCAGTAATTGATCTTAAATAGCGTCTGGGCACATATTTTGTTATAAGATCGCAGAGGAATTTTGACGCTTAGCGGTTCAAGCATTTAAATGTCAATAAAAGAATCCTAAAACAATGCGCTCTTCAATAGGCAACCAGTGGAGTTTACAAAGTACTGATGTTATATGATCACATTTACGCGTATGAGTAACAATCCTGGCTGCTGCATTTTGAACGCGCTATAGTTTCCTGAGTGATTCCTTTGGTAGACCATACAAATATAAGTTGTACAGATGATGTACTGATATATAATAATACTGATAAATATTGTAATAAAATACGGATACTGTATCAGTGTTCTCCCTTATTTTAAGCATGACAGGTAAAATAAATTTTCAAACCGGTAAAGCAATCCTTTTACCTGTTGAATTTCAAGAATTCCAAGCAATTCTACACGGTAATAAGAGGCACTACAGGCGGTAAATGTTACCGGTTACCGCCTGAAAAGGAGAACACTGGATACTACAATAGACTGACACTAAATTAAAGAATAGTTCCCCTGTTTAAAGTCACTGAACTGACCTTAATGCTCACACTTAGCGTTTATAGGAGTTCACGCATATTACATCGCATTACTTTAACTTTTAGCAGTGATAAAAATGAAACTTATCCCTAGGTTCTTAATACATAATCTTAAAGCAGGCGAGAAAATGAGATGAATCTATCAGCTGATGGGTTTTGTATTTGATTAAGCATCAAATTATCTGAACCTGTTTACAAATAAAAGTATAGGAGCTGAAAGGAAGAATTTTCAATCAGATCCTGAGAGTCTAACGGTTAAGGCAGGAGAATTGAGAAAAACGGCCAAAACTATCTTGTACGTTCTTATTAATACTGTTTTTTTTCTTATTACTTTTCATTTTGTAGCCGAATAACAGCACCTTAAAAAGAATGTCACTGTGATTTAATCCCTCCGTTACTGACACGATGTGATTGTTGATTTTGGTTTCCGAGAATAGTAGCTGCTGGACTGATTAGCTAGTTAATTATTGACAGTTTTAGCTTAATAGTCGCTCTGATTCATGATAGTAGCAAAACGCACCCGTGGCAGCACATTAAAACGCACCTGTAAAAACGAACGAACATGCTCTTTTGGAGTCTCGTGTTCTGAATCGACATCAATTTCCAACGAAGACATCATTTCAGTCTTCTATTTTGCGCAGACATTAACCACTGTGTAGAAAACCCTTGTCTAAAGGGTGGATTGTGCAGGAATATTGCTAATGAGTACAAGTGCACCTGTTCTGATGGATACACCGGCAGCCATTGTGATCAAGGGGGATGGACGGCTTTTTTATACTAAACGGATATACTACCGCCATTAGAGCGACAACGTTAAGGACGCTACATCGTTGTTTTATTTTTATCCATCCTTTTGTTTTTATCCGCTTTTGCAGAAATACCACAATATTCTCTGATATGCAGATGTTGTTGGGATATTTTACGTATAGATCTAATCTTTTGAGTGTGTTAGTTCGCAGCACGAACTGCCGCGCCATGTTCAACTTCTTGACAGCTTACATACTGTGATTGAAAATAACAACATTGCTTACATAAACTTTTTAAAATTAGTTCAGTTTCCGACTTGGGCATACAAAGGCGACTTCACTGAAAGCTAACCTAACCTAACTTCTTTGAAATTGCAAACTGTTGGATGCTAATCTTACAGAATGAAAGATTTGAAGGTGAATCCTGATAGTCGGCTAACATGTAAGTTAAAGTGATATGAGACAAAAGAGTTTTCATTTTCGGCAGATGTCGAGAGTTAAGAGAGATCAGCCGCTTATTTTTGCAGAGTTTGATTGGGAATAGAATCGCATTTATCCTCGACTCAAGTATGACTGGCTATGTGTAGTTTACTACAAAGTGTGTTTTCTTTATGAGAATAAGTGTTGGTTACGAAGAGAGTTTTTCTTTTAAGACAATAAGTGCTGAATAAATTATAAAGAAACTGCCGGATACCAATTACCATTCCAACAACTGCATTGAAGCTTCCATAGTTTACAATTGATAAACTGGATCTGAAATTTTAACCGGGTATCAATTATCATCTTCACAATGGCAGTAGGGCCTTTCGAGTTGACCAGAACATTTAAATGACAACAACTAATAAACTAGATTTGAATTTTAAGGGGAGGCGAAATTCACAGTTTTGTTTTGTTTTTGGTTTCTTTCCTTGAATAAGATGATATATTTCAGTGTTTATTAAGACAGAAATGGCTGACGAAATTAACACTTCACACGGACAAATATATTTCTCTTTAACATTTACTTAACGATTACAATATTAATTATTCTGTTATTCAGCTCTCAGAGCATCCTTTCAATTAGCCCGTCCATTGTAATAATGGAAAGAAATGTATTAAATAAACATCTATGGACTCCTTTTAAATTAATTAAAATCTTCCCGAAGCTGTTACAAAGTTGACTATAGGCACCGAAGGCGGAAGTATCGACCGAAACAAACCTGAAATGAATTTTTTTCTGTGTGCTGTTTTAATTGTGTTATTATTGTCCGAGGTCATAGCATCTCAACCATTTATTTGTAAGGAAGCGACTCTTTCTTGTCCTGTGATAACTCGCAATCATCGCCGACTCAAAGGCTTTACGTCAAAAAACATTTCACTTTGCAAGCCTGATATCTTGTGGTTTGCAATGTCAGAGAGACCCTCGATGCGTTTCAACAAATTTCAGAAAAGTTTCCAAAACTGGGGGAACCTGTGAGCTGAACGACAGAGGAGCCTTCCCTCTTAAGGAAGGAAAAGAACTGGAATATGACGAAGAAGCTATTTACACTCAATTATATGTCAAAAAGGTAACAAAAATTTGTCTTATCTATTTTAAGTAATCATCCATGCAAGAGGTGGGCATCTTAAAAAAGTGTGTATGTGTCTATCTACTGGAACACATCTAAATAAAAGACGGACAAGCTACGATCTTCTCTTTGTCACGAGAAGGGAACTAGCTTACTGATGAATTCTCTGTTAGAGGAATATCAGAACACGAAAGCCTCTGACCTGAGATTTTATTTTATTCTTGACATCTCAGTCTGGTAAATACTTATCTTTTCGACGTTAGAAGTAAACATTTATCATCTGTCTCAGTAATGCGTCTATCCCTTGATCCCTGTCAAGTTATAGTATGGTGCGATGTCGGGTTTTCATCTCTCTTTATAAATGCGAGTGGAGAATGATTAGCGGCGTTACTGCGAATGTTGACTTAAAAAAACAAAATAGGCTACTTTCCAAATTTTCTGTATCTTTAAAAAAATGATACTTGCAAAGTGTTCCGAAGCACTATAAGATTAATTATGTTGAGTCTTCTCAAATAATTTTGTGGAGTGAAAGAGGGTAACATTTATTTGAGACACAAAATTGTAGTTTTGGCTTTAGGCTAAAAATTTAAAGATGAGTTTCTATTTGATGATTAACAAGGATGACTAGTTGATTTCCTGATTTAAAAAAAATATATTTTTATGTCTGAGCAGCATAACTGTCAAGTTTTCAAGGAAGAGTTTAAAGTCGTCAGCTACAGATGTAAGTAAGGCTGAGTAGAAAAATAATCTTAAAATTAATGTCTAAGATCCTGTACTTACACCACTGAGGAGTTACTCGTCTCAGCTGCCTCTTGTCCTTGTGTCAAGAAGCCTCCCGTCAATGAGTGTCCCATCGTGATGAACCTCCCCGAACCATTTCTGGACCTTATCTACTTCCTTCAAAGTCCTCAAATGTGGTTTTTAAAAAAAAAATTGAACGGGAAAATACTGCGAGGGTCATTGCTCAACAAAAAAAAAATAATAAGAAGCTTTCTAAGACGTTGAAAATCTGTATTTTTCCAATTAAAAGTCATTCATAATTTCAAATGCAATTTGTGCTTACGGCAACGCATTAAGCACATCTGGGGATTTTACGAGACAATCCCTATCCAAAAACACCTCTGGATACTCCGAAGGTGCCGCGGTATTATATACCGTCCGGGGGAACGAGATGACCTTAACCATGACTTGAAGTTTAGAGATTTTTAATATACGGAGAGTTCTTACCTGTTAATTTTTTTCTTATTTAAATCCTTGAAAAGAAGTCGAAACTTTAAACTGCACTGATTTTTATATTTCTGTTCAAATGTTGAAAACATCTGCAATCAGCGGTAAACTTGTCAATATGTGTGATAGTCTTTCTCTGTCTAAAATACATGTGTGGAATCACCAAAAGGCCCAGTTCCCTTAGGTATGGAAAATGGAGTTATTACTGACCCGCAGATCAATGCATCGTCCATGCATAATTATAAGCATGGCTCGCAAAATGCAAGGTTACATTTCAAGGGAGACCCGTTGACGCATGTATCTGCTGGCTGGGCAGCTCGTCTGCTAGACACCAAACAATGGCTGCAAGTAGATCTTCAGCATATCACAAGGGTAATAGGCATAGCGACGCAAGGGAGACATGATTTAGATCAGTGGGTTACTGAATACAAGCTACAATACGGCGACGATGGACAAACTTACAGTGTCTACAGTCGAAGCGGGGACACATCAGAAACGGTATGAATACTAATGACTTTTTGAACAAAATGTTCTCTTTTCTTCTTGCTGGGAGGGTGAGACAACGAAAAAAAATCAAGAGTCCCAAAGAGCAATAGAACCTGAGACATTAGAATATTTCACTTCAATGCACTGACGCTACGCCACAACCACCTCACAAGCAGCTGGACTATTACGAGGTCCATCATATGTTCAAATATGAGCTTTTCTTTTTTGCTTTTGGTGGGTCTGGACGTAATCGAGTAGTAGAAATAAGTGAGAACAAAGTGTATTAGTTTATATCTATATTTATGTTTGATTGCTGAGGAACATGTAGAAAAGCATCAACTAAGGTTCTAGGTTTAGAGTTACCGCTCCTGTATAATGCATACATTCGTCAATTTTACATTCCTTATTATTCTACTCAGGTTTTCCCAGGAAACACTGACAGGAACACAATTGTGTATCACGATCTTAACCCGGTCATTGATGCTCGCTTCGTTCGAGTTCTTCCGATGGAATGGTTTGGCCATATCGGAATGAGAATGGAACTGTACTCTTACTCTTGTCAAAGTAAGTTACTAGTTGAACTTTTTATCCCTGACTGGATTATTGTGCTTAACTCTCAGAAATGATTAACATGAAACTTCTCCCTTTGATATCCTTACATTATCCAGCAAACAGGCCATGAGAATATTCAAACTTATCAGGTAGAAGTTATCTTGATCTTACACCAACTTCTCATGACTAATTTGCAAGGATATGTGTAGCAGCTAGAGGGGAGAATTAACAATCAGATCTTGGGAGTTAAACGGTTAACGAGTTTCACGCAGAGACGTTCAACCCTCACAACGACTCCTTCCAACAAGTGAAGTCAAAGGATCAGTGTACCGGCAAGGGAGGGGGGGGAGAGAAATGGAGGTGGGGCAGAGGGGAAACTCAGCGCAATGGACTGGTTTTCATTAAAGAGTAGTGCCCAGGTCTAAGACCAGTTGTAATGGTAATTGGACTGGGTGGAATTTAATACGGTCGCTAATCATACAAGTGATAAATAAAATCAGACGAACGCGCAGCAAGTGTTCGATTTGTCAATTACGAGTATCATTACCAGAAAGAATTGGACGACTCGAAGTCCTGTTACCAATTAATCAAAACATTTTTGGAAAGAGACTGGACCTTTACATTAAAAACAACAGTTAAATCGGCGAAATGCGAGACAACAGCGCGCGCACATGACGCGCTCTGTCCACTTACGCAGGTCTGACAAGTTAACTGTCCCTATAACTCTCCTATTAAACTGTCCAATTACAAGCATGACGCTTACACTGTCCTTTTAGTACTGAAATCGGGCTGGTGATAACCAATCACGTTCGAGAATTTTGTTATAGTTTTAATTACATACGTAATTGCAATATGGCAGTAAAGCTCAAACATTAGATATGGCATCCCTTCAATTTTTGCAGTAATGAGCATTTAACTTCTTTTTAGTGCTTATTTTTAAATACATTATCCAGCGAGCATGCAGATGAAAAGATGAGATAAATCTATCGGCTGATAGGTATTTTTTCTGATAGAGCACTAAATTTTCTGAACTTGCATGTTTACTGGTGAAAGTATAACAGCTGAAAGGAAGAATTTCAATCAGATCAGTGGGAGTCTAACGGTTAAGATAGGGGAATTGATTGGCATCGAGCTATATTTTGCATACTTGCTTATGTTGTTTTGTCTCCTTATTTTTCATTCTGTAGACGAATAACACAAGTTTACGAAGAATATTCACGTGATGTAATCCCTCCTTCGCTGACACGATGTAACCCTTGTTTGTGGGCTATAAAGTGCAACAGCTTCTTGACTGATTGACCAATTAATTATCGTTATCATAACAGATTAAATAGTAGTTTAAGCATATTAGTCATTAGCGAAATGCATTGATGGCAGTACATAAAAACGCACCTGTAATAAAAACGAACGAACGAATATTCTGTCGTTGGAGCCTCATGTTCAATTAACCTCACTGCTTGACGAAGACCAAAGGTGTGGTGTTCGAAATGTAGTTTATGCTTGGATGGCCTCAATCATACATGTCCAATACATCCAAACCGCTACGATTCGTCTATGGTCCCTGACGAATCAACACACCGGAAGTAGAAGCGTGCGTTAACATACTGGAAGTGGAGGGTGGTAAGCAATGTGTGAAAATGAGTAGCATGGTATACTGGAAGTCGAATCGTGCGTTAACATACCGGGATTCGGGGGGCGTGAGCAATGTGTGAAAATGAGTAGTATGAAAAGAGAAGATGACAACATGAACCTTCCACGTTCTTAAAGCGTGAAACGGCCGGAGGTCCATCGTCAGAATATTATCAATATTAAAATGAACCTTCTTCCTTCCTAAAGCGTTAAATAGGGGCATTAAATGTTGACGAATCGACACGATTCGTACGGGTCGACACGACTCGTCATTAGTTAAGTCAATCCGTCTCACCGGAAGTCGATTCGCAAAAGAAGACTATACATACTAAGGCGTTAAATTAGGGTATTCGTTCGATTCGAGAAAATCTGCAACCCCCTTTTGTGACCACTTGCGGAATATTTTCTAAGTATCTTGTAAATCGACTTCTGGTGTGACGGGTCGACATCAACTGTGACGAGTCGTTCGATTCGAGTCGAATCGAATCGAGTCGATTCGACAATATCTCCAACTTCCCTTCGAAGTTACTCGCTGAATATTTTCTAAGTGTCTTGCGAATCGACTTCCGGTATGACGGGTCGACATCAACCGTGACGAGTCGTTCGATTCGAGTCGATTCGACAATACTTGTAACCCTCTTTCGTGGCCACTTGCGGGAAATTTTCGAAGTGTCTTTCAAATCGACTTCCGGCATGACGGGTCGACATCAACTGTGACGAGTCGTTGGATTCGACAACATTTTCAACGACCTTTGGTAGTTACTTGCGGACTATTTTCTCAGAATCTTGCAAATCGACTTCCAGTGTGACGGGTCGACTTTAACTGTGGCGAGTCGTTCGACTCGAGTCGAACTTGAAATATATATGAGATATATATAGATTCGTATGTTTTCGGATATTTTCGTCACTTTTCAAGAGTTCTTACAAACCTTTAAACAGCAAATTAAAACAAATCGGGGAACATTTGTAACTCCAGTTTGTAAAATTTGTTATCGTAAGCAAATTCTAATGGTCATTTAGTCTCAGAGCGAACTGAAGAATTGTAACGAAAGCAGGACGGAAACTGTCAAAGGTTCAATTGCTAAAAGCCTGTTCCTGTTACACGAGATGGACGGCAATAATAGTGGGAAAGTTGTACTCTTAAAAGAATGTATATCAAGTAACATTTGTTCCCCGACTGAGAGGTTAACTATCGGGCATAATTGTAACAAACCGAAGATAAAATAAACACGCGCTTTTTCTGAGAGGAATACCGGTTTTTAGATGCTAATTGAGAGAGAAATAATGACGCCCATAGTTTTCTTTTAAATAAACAACTTCGTTTAGTATACTTAAAAATTCTGGGGCGTTTCAGCTTTCTACTGTTGTCTCATGATGGGGTTTTTGCTTTCCATTTTTTTCCGGTCGAAAGTGGTAAGTGATTTGACCAGGGGGTGCATCCCAGAATAACCCCTCTCCTGGCAGAACATCCCCAGAATACCCCTTCTCTCCTTGGGAATTAATCACTATCAAAATCTGAAGTGAACACACTTTACTGCGTGGCATTCGAGATAAGACCAAAATAACTTAAAACAACCCTTCTATGTCGGCTAAGATCATAATCTCAGCCAGAGGGGCTAATTATCATGGCCGAATTTGAGAAGAATTTCTCCTACGAGGCTTTCAACAGCCGATCCTTCTGCGCTGGAGGAGTCCGTTGAAGTCGGCAGTCCTTGCAGAACATGAATGAGTCTTTGCAAACTGTTTCCTTCCAAATAATTGCTCTGTATATTGGGAGAAACTAATCGTTTGATAATTCGTAAAAGCTGTTTTTGTTTCTTAACGTCAGCGGCGCTCAAAGCCTCCGCAAAGCAATCCATGTTTTCCGCGCTTAGAGAGTCCTCATAAATCCCTCCAAAAAGTTCCACCATTAGATACAAGCACCTACAAGAACTGTCTCTCACATCCAGGTCCTCGTGACAGAGAAAGTTGATAAGCAAGCCAGTCATGTCGACCAGCGGTTTACTCTCCACAAGGAGCTTCTCCGCCAGTTGCGTCTGAGCCTCGTTGTCTGGTCTCGCCTCAGTCTTCGCCTGCAGAGCTTTGCGTACTTCTCTGGAGACGAATTTCAACGTGTTATTCAAAGCATCGAAAAGGGGAAGCAACAGCGCCACTGAGGGGTCATTTCCAGTAGAATTTTCCTCGTTTTGTGCCGACGCAACGTCAACGAAAACGGAAACGAGGATATCGATTAAACCTTGGTCGTATAACAAAGAAACGTCAACATCTTTGGCAGAAACCAAACAGTCCAGTAAACCAACTGTACTCAGCACCATTCCCCTGTCGACTCGGTCGGTGTGGGACTGTAGGATCTGGGACATGGTAAGAAGAAGCTTTTGATCCACAACTGTGTGGATGATGTCGGGGCTTCTTTCCAAGAAAGATAGCAACAGTTTAAGACCATATGCTGGTAAAGGATCTTGGTCTTGCAGGATGAGATGATACTGAGGCAGTAAGTGATTATTAATAACCTACGAGAAATCAATGACAACAAGTACATTACCACTTAAAAAGAGGCCTTCTTTAAAAATGCCAGACGCAAAATGTTTCCACTAGATGAATTTAAGGCTTGGACTAAAAAAGGAAAGTGCAGTAATTAATTACAATAAAGAACTCTTCCATACAGAAAAACTCTAAGGAAGAGAGAGCATCTCACCTCATTTAGTTTGCTGGTACTTTTCAACACATCTTTAACATCACTGGAGGAATTGTACACATTATGGTTATCAAGATACAGCGACGCTACATCGGCAAACATTCTGAAGCTTAACACTCGTGTATCTCCATTTGTACTGCTCATCAGAGCAGCCAGATGAGGCAGGATGTGTTGTGTGACAACAGCGTGATACTCCAGCAGTATAGGAGGGTGTTGCGTGATTGCTTCCGCAATAGACAACACCACGCTGATAAGGTCTTCTGCTGCGTTCGGTCCCGCTGCTGATCCAATGCTGGTGCTTCCAGAATCAATTGAAGTCACATGCGACAGAAGCAAGCCGACATTGACGAGAAATTCTTCATTTGTTACTTGAGAACGAAAAGCGTGACTTGTAACGAGGTGCAGAATGATGGACAACAGTGGAAGGTTTGTCCGCAGCTGCTTGGCGTGACTCGCCGAGGGATGCTTCCTTCCTTGAACCGCATCCAGAGACGCCAACACATCCAACAGGATCCCGGGTACCGCTTCAACGATGGCGGACATGCAAATATTCTGACACTGCACAAGATAGTCTCGATTCTCCCGGCTCTCGCCTTTAATTGGGATACCTCTCTTTAGCTGCCGCTCGATGTACATAACCAGCCGGGACTGGCAGCACATGAGGAGGGCTTCCGGGCTGGACTGGATCAAGGTTAGGACCAGAAGGAAGGCCTTTCCCCGGATAACCATGGATGGACTCTCAAACAGATGAAGACCCTTGGTAGCCAGGTCTCGTTCTTGAACAAGCCTTCGCATCTGAGGTCTGTTAGAAAGCAGCACGACGAACATTGTAACTAAACCTTGCTGGATCTTGGGAATGCTGCTGGCCAAGGCTGTGCTTACTGCTTTGAAACCTGCCCTCTCAATCACATGTTGGAAGACTGTAGGTGAGTTAATTGTCAAGCGGCTGAGCGCTGAAATCGCTGTCACCTTCTGGGCATCAATGGTACAGTGAGTGAAGAAATTCCAAAGAAGCTGCGCAAAAGATAACGATAAAAATAAGATATGATTTGTAAACCTCACTTCTATTAGGATAACACCATCTACCTGATTTTTTAGTTCATTCCCATGACCTGTTTGTTGATAACGCTCTATCATCATAACTATGTCTTTAAAGAAAATTCTCCCAATTGTACCTTTTTGCGATTAACCTGTTTTCTCTTGCAATTAACACAAAATTGCTCAATCGCCACTCAGTTCTCGAGGAGTAAATTAGTTAACTCCGAATCTGGATTGGCTTTCGTAATTACTTCGGTTCTGATTTATTTCGATGATCAGCCATGAATGGTTCTAATCCTCTTAGTTTCAACGTTTATTTAGTTTTTACCTGAGCTGTGTCATTTGTGGCAAATTTCGTGCAATGTCTGCCATGGGTTGACGCCACGTTCTCAATGGCTTTAGCAGCAAAGTGCTGCACCGCGATATCTTCTCCCTCATGTAGACATCTGGTAACAATAGTGAAAGTGACTCCTAAAGGAAATACAACTAAGTTGTAATTGCAAAGTACATTTGCCGCCTCCGTATATACCTGGAAGTAAAACTACGACATACTTCCAATTTTCACTTCAAGGGCATCGTGAAAGAACTGAGTAATGAGTACAGCATGAGTTTCGCTCAGAACGATGGATGTCCATCCCAGAGGTTTAAAGTAAGTGAGTTGAGATTCATGTCCGTGTTTTTGTCTGCAGATTTCAACCACTAGACTATGTCCGTTAAGTTTCAAAATTTATTTATAGGCATTTGACGAACATGAAGTAGAACAATACTACAAGAAGAGAAAAGGACTATGAACATATGAAAATCATATAATTTATAGTCATATATTTATATTTTTCAGTAGTGAACATAAAAGCCTGAAAAAAAATTCAGACCAGTACGGGATTTAAACCCATGATCTCTGCAATAGCGTTGCAGCGCTCTACAACCTGAGATAACAAGCCAGCTGGGAGCTGGTCATTTTGTTGGTTTGTAATAAACCCTTGATGGAAGATTTGGTTTGTTTGCGTTGCATTCAATCGTTTGCCTACACATCCTTTCAAATTCTTTGTCCATCTGTTTGTCATTATTTGAACACTGGACTAATAAAAGTGACGCGTGTAATTAGGGCACGTTTGATTGCATTTCCATAATCAGACGTTTACCTACATGTACCTGACAACTAAAAACAGCAACACCGAAATGCTTAAAGAAGGCCTGTTGCAGTTACCTTATCTGTATGAGGCTGACCCTCTGAACACATTACCTGGAACGTCCCATTGTGGAATTTCACCTCCTAAATTTTCCTCCTGAGTCGCAGCATAAAACAGAAACTCGCCCAGGGCAGGCAAAAGATGTTGCTTGAGCTTGGCATTCCGAAGTTGTCTCTGATCACCTCTGTTAATACTGTGAACACTTCTGTCATGTTGAAGTCCTCAGAAATCATTGTAGCATTACCAGCTAAAAGACTGAGAGCATATCCTTTCAAATAACAATTAAAAAAATAATCAATTCATCATTTTAGGAGTTTTGATAACTTTTTCCATAAATGGCTGCCAATGATTTAATAGGTACCAGTGCCCTACAAAGGCCCCAAAAGCAAAATGCAGGCATGAGAGCCTGCTTGCAAGCTAAACAGACCGCAGTAGGTGGGCTTACAGGCTAAGGAAGACACAGCCAGTAACCAGCTTTCATGGAGACCCCTGCATTTAGTGCAAATCCTAGGAATTTGGTGTGAACGCAAACAATATCCACTGGCTAGAAATTTTCCTTATCTCTCTACCAGTCTGTTTGACATTGTACTACAATTCTGAGGAGAAATCAAGTATTGATCACTCTTGGGAGTGTAGGGGTTTATTCATCAGATGCTATTGAAACTGGGGTTAAGTAATGCTTCAATAAACCACTTAGCATTGGGTACATAGACTAAAACTTTTAATCTCTGTTATGCAGAAAACTAACAACTGTATGCTTCTATTAGCTGATGGCCAGGGCAGGTTGCTCAAAGCTAGGCAGACAATCCTGGGTTAATGTTAGATCTTAATTCAGATCTGGAGGTTTTCAAAGAAAATTCAATACAACTCTTTTTGTCTAAACTTTCATTACAGTATTAGGTGCTTTAAAAAGAATACAGAAAAGTATCCCGAAAAGGCTTTTGAACAAAGGTATAAAAGAAAGCTGAATGAAAATTTAACCTTGGCTTTGCCCCAATTGGCCTTTGAACAACTGGGCCCAGGAATATACTTGGCAGAGTTTACAGACCCTAGAAACATACTATCATACTCAAAATGGGGTATGGGTAGCACATATTCGTGACACTTACCAAGTCTTGATTTGAAATCGGCTGAAAAACCAGACTTGATCTGTCTCAGCATCACTGGTATAAAATCTGAATCAAAGACTTCATTAAAAATCTCTCCATCTCGGCACAGTGATGCCAAATAAGACGTTGTGTGTAATTTGCTTCGGTGAAGGGAGGCAACAGGGCCAGCATTTGCCCTGTCATTTTGACTCAACAAACTGCTAATGGACATTAAATGCTCCCCAAATTTTTCTCTTGGAAGGTCCACAAGCTCTCCTGGTTTTAGAGGTTGACAAGGTAGTGCCTTTGAATCCCATTTGGGAAGGGAAAATTTCTTTATGCGAGGGTTATCAGCAATTGGTGTCACAATAAAATCTGATGGATGACTCACTAAATTTGAAATTTTGTTATGAGTTGGACTTCTGTTGTCTTTAACCTGCTGATCCTGAAGTACTGGACTTGTAGATTCCTGAGCTTCACTTTGATTAAGTACATTCTGTTTCAGCTTATTGAAGTCAGATTTTTTGAACGTTTGATTTTGTTTCACCAGGTTTGACTTATTGTTCTTTGATTCTGAAGTTCCAAAAACTACATTTGTTGAATCTCTTTTTGCATTTTTAGTTGAGTTGGACTCACTCTCATCTTGATCATCTAATGTTTTTCTTCTGACCACTGTATGGGTTTTGCCTAGAGATTCATTTTCCTTACTACTTCCTACTACTCTGAAGCAGGATCAGCCGTATGTGGCCTGCTGCTGAAGGTATATGTTCCCTGCCTGACGATCTGTGCTGGCAGATGTAATTGATCACTCTTTGTTTTGACATGTTCTTTCTCTTCTCCAACATTTCCACAGTGTAAATCTTCACTCTTTCCTTCATCATTTAATTCTTGCTGATCTTCAGTTTCTGTTTCCTCTTTGATTTCATCAGCAGATTTAAGCTGATTTTCTAATTCACCTTGCCAAAAGCTGTGTACTATCAGATCTTTCCAGTCTAAACGCTGTGTAGGATCTTTCTCTAACAGTCTTTTTATTACATTGTCAAGGTCATGTAATGCTCCATTTTTTGCACCTTCCATGTCTAATCTCAGATGAGGGACATTTTGATGAAAAATTTTATGTGACAAGTTCTGCAAAAGAATCTGCAACAAAAGGTTTTTCTCCAGAAAACAATTCATACAACACGCACCCAAATGACCACAGGTCACTTTCTTTAGAATGAGGACCCCCACTGAGTACTTCAGGGGCCATATAGTGGGGTGAAGGTTTGGGTCGCTGGCTTTGATCCTTCTCTGTATCTCTATAATTTTGGCCCTCGTCGTCAGAATTTTGTTCTTCTTGTAAACCGTCATAGAAGTCGTCCTCTCCTTCAACTCTGGCCAGTGCAAAGTTACTGAACTTCAAGACACCTGCTCCATCAAGCATTATCCTTGATGGTTTCAAATTGCAATAAAGAATTCCAAGGGAGTGTATGTAGTACAATGCTTTTGCAATTTCAATTCCAAATTGTCTGACAGTTTCCACTGGTAGACATTTATCTTGAGACAGGACGGCGTCTAAACTGTCTCCTGTACATAACTCCACCACCATCCAGATGTGATTTGTTGTCTCGTACCATTCACGAAATTTGACAACATTAGATGATCCATCTCGTGGGTCAGTCTGACAATGTTTCGAAGCTCCAGTCGCTTGCATTTTTCAACACAGTGTATCGCTACAAATTCAATTGTTCCTTTCTTACGACCTTTGTAAACCACAGAGTGTTCTCTTCTACCAACTTCGTCGTACAGTATGTAATTCTCCATGTTGATAAAGGTAGAAGATCCCGCCTTTTAATGTATTTGTCCCCTATAAATATTTAAAATTTGTAAACAACCGTTCCCCGAAAGCAGAAATTTTTTTTGGGATCACTCTCTGAAGGAGCTTAGACACCAGGCTCAATTAGGCAACAAAGCCTTCTGATGATTTTTTAACAATTCTACCCTCACATCCCCCGACTGGTTGAAGTGCGATTGGAGGGGGACAGGGAAGAAAACATTTTTGTTACTTGCGCGAGAAAAAACAAATGGGAAGTTATCTATTAACCCTATGTTTTTGTAATTTTCTCAGGAAAGAATATTACCTTATCTCGCTACGCTCCGTTCGAATATGAATCTTCTGCCTTTGGCTAAAATACGCTTTCTTCGTGAATTCTAAACACTACTCACGATCAAATGGAACCAAAAGGGAATTTCAAACCAAGGAAATACTTGCCTCTGAATAGTGTCTTACAAGCTCTGCTCTCGGTGACATGTTTTTCCGAAGGACTCGCTGGATTGCAGCACAATCGCAAGAAGTGCACCTCATCGAGTACAGGTCTTGAAAATGTATTCAATTTTAAAAAAATCCCAGCAGGCAAACAACATTAACCTTTCGGTGAACTACGTAATTGAACCAAGCACTTTTTTAAATGGACTACAAAATTTGTCGCAAGTGTAGTAATCCGCTATTTCGACTTAATAGAGCAATTCGTATCAATCATATTAAAATACCTATTTGACAACTTGATAATCTTGTTAGAACGTCATAGGAAGTTGTACCTTTAAAGAAGCTACGAGTAAAATCTGGTAAGGCCTTTTCACTGTTTACAGCGGTAAATTTATATTAACCCTGGAAGCTTTGCACGTCTTAGTTATTTGCTTGATTATTTTTTGACGCTGTTGTGTTGAGCATCCATCTGAAGCGTGCGTGTATGAGTGCTCAGGGTGCAAAGAGTGAAAACGGTGCGCAAACCTAATAATTTCGACCCCTGTACAAAAATGAGTAGTTTCTGGACCATATTGACTTGATATTTTATACTTGGTAATTCCTAAATTGACTGATGCCTCACACGAGAGAAAATTATTTTCATGTCATAACTGTGCACCACCGAGGCCTTGCATTAATAGAAAGGTTATTCTGGTACTACTCTAGGTAAGATGCATTTTCTACAAATGATGGAAAAAATGAGTTATCATTATTATTAACATTATTATCATTATTATTATTGTGTTACACACTCTTAACCAAATTTGAAACTTTACCACTCCCCTCCCCCAAAGCAGCTACATGTATACAATATAGGGCCTTTTTAAAAGTCCTCACTGTTTAATGCCTCAAGGCTTACTGGTTTGGCAGTCAGTGGAAAAGTAATAAAAGAAATACATTCAGTTGGATTTAAATGATTATAATTAAGATTTAAGTATCAATTCTAACTGAGCAATGACTTGGGACACAGAAAACAAGACATTGATTGCATTATATCAGATGGCTTGATGCAAATGAGCCAAGAAAGTATTTTTTTTTGTTTGGTACATAATCATAAAAAAGCCCCATATTCTGTAGTTGTAAGTCATGGAGTGAAATTCAGTACTTTAACTATATTCAATAGACCTTACTGCAGTTTTCAACACCACCTTGATGGGTTGGTGAGCAGGCGAGACCTTGCAGTATTTGTATAAGAATTCAATGTCAAAACATTTTTGTGCAAATTCTGTTATGTTAGAAATATCAGTAATATGGCAAACGTAAGCAACAGTTGTACACGTTACAGGAAAAGGATTCTTCTGGAAAAAAAATTTCTTGCAGACTAAAATTTCCTGAAAAAAATAACAGACAATGCATGGAAAATCTATTACAAATAACAGGGCAAATTCAAGGACAGGTACAGCCATAGCCACTATGAAGTAAGCATCCCTACCACTCTCAAATGCATTATCAGTTGCCTCAGATGTCCAGGCAGTCCAGGGAACAATTTAAACATTAGCTCAGTTTTGTGAAATCAGATTAACTGTTGCTCAGAGTGCATTATTTCATAACAACGTACTTCAACAAGTTAGGTATACATATAGTATATACCACAAAAGCAAATGATTTCTGGTGTTATCGCTAATTGAGGTATCAGATCAAGAAAGTGTAAGGTTTTTAATAAAGAGTTAAATTTTAGCTGAAAGCTTTTCGAGTTATTAATTTGATAATTTATTGTACGTTGTAAAATTACAAAGCAAAACACTAAATTTAGGTTGTAAAAAACTAAAATAATTACTTACTTACTTACCTTTCAGTCTCAAAACGTTTTTCTCTTTGCTGATTTAATTTGAGCTTGTGTTTACTGCACGCCGAAGTTCCTTGTATTCTCCAGTGTGACAAAAAAGGTCACGCAAGCAAGAAAAGGCTTGGGCACAAATTCAGTAGGCTTGGCTTCTGAGTTGAGCCTGGTTTCTAAGCTCCTTCGGAAAGTGATCCCAAAAAAATTTGTGCGTTCTGGAGTGTATTACGATATACCGCTGATAATTGTTAGCGGGCTCGAAATGTCCTTGATTTCTGGCGATTGAATTGGCTCCCTATTAAAGATAGACTTGCAATGATGCAACTATGGTTTTTAAGTGCATTAATAATCTTGCTCCAGACTACCCTGCAAAAGAGTTTGAGCTGCGTTCTTGTGTTCATGACAGGCAAACTCGATCAGCTAGTACCCTGGAAAATAGCACGCACTTTAGCAGAAATACCACATGCTCTCTGATATGCAGATGTTGTTGGTACTTTGCTGATAGGTCTAATCTCTTCATTGTGTTAGTTCTCAGCACGAACTGCCGTGCTATGTTTCAACTCCTTGACAGCTTATATACTGTGAACGAAAATAACAACATTGTTTATATAAGCTATCTAAAATTAGTTCATTTTCCGGCTTGGATTTACTTTAATTTTTCCCTACCAATGCTTGTGACTCTTTGAATTTTTTAGCGTTTGTGTACTTACCTTGAATCCTAATGTATCACACAAACGAAGGCGACCTCACTGAAAGCTAACCTAACCTAACTTCTTTGACAATACAAACCGTAGGATGCTAAGCTTACAGAATGAAAGATTTGAAGGTGAATCCTGATAATCGGCTATTAAGTAAGTTATAGCGATATGACAGAAGAGATTATTCATTTGCGACAAACCAATAAGATGTCGAGAGTTAAGAGAGATCAGCCGTTTATTTTTGCAGAATATGACCGGAAGTAGAATCGCATTTATCGTTGCCTCAAGTGTAACTGGCTATGTGTAGTTTGCAACAAAGTGTGTTTTATTTATGAGAATAAGTATTGGTTACGAAGAGTGTTTTTTTTAAAGACAATAAGCGCTGAATAAATTATAGAGAAACTGCCGGATACCAATTACTATTTCAACAACGACATTGATGCTTCTATAGTTCACAACAACATTTGAATGATAACGATTGATAAAGTGGATCTGAAATTTTAAATGAGTATCAAAATTTACCATCTCTCTTATTTCTGTCTACAAACATTACGCTATCAACATTGCTGATCCTAGCAGTATGCAGGACGCGTGACATATGAACGTCGTAATAGACCTCGCTCACCGCGGAGTCTCTGTGGCTCAATTGTTAGAGCATTGGAGCGCGGAATCCGAAGGTCTGAGGTTCGTTTTCTCATGGGGACTCAGAATTTTTTCTTTGTCCCACGTTCGTGACAAGACGAAGAAACATCTTTCTCTATTAATTATTCTGTTATTCAGCTCTCAGAGCATCCTTTCTGACTATAGTTGAAAAAAAAATTTCATAAACGTCTCTGAACTCCTTTTATATTAATTGAAATCTTTTCGAAGCTTTTACAATACTGCGTGTACGCACCGAAGGTAAAGTCTCGACCGAAAAATAAAAAAACTGAATGAATTTTTTCTGTGACTTAAGGCTTCACGGTCAAAATATTTCATCTGGCAAGCCTGATATCCTGTGGTTTGCCAGAGAGACCCTCGATGCGTTTCAGTTTATTACTCTTATTTATGAGAATATGTGTTGGTTACGAAGAAAGTTTTTTTTTAAGACAATAAGTGCTGAATAAATTATAAAGAAACTGCCGGATACCAATTACCATTTCAACAACGGCATTGATGCTTCTATAGTTCACAACAACATTTGAATGATAACAATTGGATCTGATATTTTAACTAAGTATCAATTATTAACTTCACAACGGCAGTGAGGCTTCTTGAGTTGACCAGAAAAGTTAAATGACAACAACTGATAAACTAAATTTTTATTTTAAGGGAAGGCGAAATTCACAGTTTATTTTTGTTTTTATTTTTCATTCCTTGAATAAGATGATATATTTCAGGGTTTTTCAGACAGAAGCCTCGAAAGAAGCCCTTTCAGAAGCCCTAATTGCTCTGACGAAGGGCTAACGCTCGAAACGTCAGCTTTTTTACCCTTTACGGTGGCTAATTTACGTTTTCAACCCAGTTGTTAACACTAAATTACCTGCTATACTCTCCCACCGACGCAGCACCACAGTTTCTTTAGAAACTTACCCCTTTATTCATTTTTCAGACAGAAATGGCCGACGTAATTAACACTTCGCACGGACAAATATGTCTCTTTAACATTTCATGAACGATTACAATATTAATTATTCTTTCATTCAGCTCTCAGAGCATCCTTTCCACTTGACTACGATTGGAAAGAAAAATAATTAAAAAACGTCTCTGAACTCCTTATAAATTATTTGAAATATTTTCGAAGCTTTTACAAAGCTGCGTGTAAACACCGAAGGCAGAGTCTCGACCGAAAAAAAACGAAATGAATTTTTTTCTGTGTGGTGTTCTAGTTGGGTTATCAATATCTGAAATCGAAGTATGTCAGGAAATTCTTTGTAAGGAAGCGTCTCTTTCTTTTCCTGTGGTAACTCGCAATCATCGCCGACTTGAAGGCTTTACGTTCAAAACATTTCACCTTGCAAGCCTGATATCCTGTGGTTTGCTATGTCAGAGCGACCCTCGATGTGTTTCAACAAATTTCAGAAAAGTTTTTAAAAGTTTTTATAAATTATAAAGAAACTGCCGGATACCAATTACCATTTCAACAATGGTATTGAAGCTTCTATGGTTCACAGCAGCATTCTAATGATAACAATTGATAAAGTGGATCTGAAATTTTAGCTGAGTATCAATTATTACCTTCACAACGGCAATAAGGCCTCTAGAGTTGACCAGAAGTTTAAATGACGACAACTGATAAACTAGATTTGAATTTAAAGGGAAAGCGAAATTCACAGATTTTTTTTTTGTTCCTTGAATAAGATGATATATTTCAATGTTTATTCATACAGAAATGGCTGACGTAATTAACACTTGGCACAGACAAATACTTCTCTTTAACATTTAATGAACGATTACAATATTCATTATTCTGTTATTCAGCGCTCAGAGCATTCTTTCAATTAGCCCGTCCATTTGACTATAATGGGAAAGAAAAGAAATATATTTGAAAAGAAGACTATTAAATAAACATCTAAGAACTCCTTTTAAATTAATTAAAATCTTCCCGAAGCTGTTACAAAGTTGAGTATACGCACCGAAGGCAAAGTCTTGACCAAAAAAAACCGAAATGAATTTTTTTTTGCGTGCTGTTTTAGTTGTGTTATTAATGTCCGAAGTCGTAGCATCTCAAGCATTTCTTTGTAAGGAAGCGTCTCTTTCATGTCCTGTGATAACTCGCAATAATCGCCGACTTAAAGGCTTTACGCTAAAAACATTTCACTTTACAAGCCTGATATCCTGTGGTTTGCAATGTCAGAGAGACCCTCGATGCGTTTCAACAAATTTCAGAAAAGTTTCCAAAACTAGAGGAACCTGTGAGTTAAACGACAGAGGAGTCTTCCCTCTTGAGGAAGGAAAAGAGCTGGAATATGACGAAGAAGCTATTTACACTCAATTATATGTCAAAAAGGTAACAAAAATTTGTCTTATCTATTTTAAGTAATGATCCACACAAGAAGTGGGCATCTCAAAAAGTTTGTATGTGTCTATTCATCGGAACGCACCTAAATAAAAGACGAAAAAGCTACGATCTTCGCTTTGTCATGAGAACGGGACTAAGCTTACGGATGGATTTTGTGTTGGGTGATAGTGGAATATCAGAACACGAAATACTCTAACCTGAGATTTCATTTAATTCTTGACATCTTTCTGATAAAATGATTATTTTTTCGACGTTAGAAGTACAAATTTACCATCTGTCTTATCTGTCTTAGTAATGTGCCTATCCTTTGATCCTTTTCAAGTTATGCTATGGTGCAATGTCGAATTTTCATTAGTCTATTGATAAACGCGAGCGGAGAATGGTTCGCGGCGTTACCACGAATATTGACAAATAAAAAAATGGGCTACTTTCCAAATTTTCAGTATCTTTGGATAAATGACACTTGCAAAGTTCTCCCAAGAACAGTGCAGTTAGAGTTAATTAAGTTGGGTATTCTTAAAATAATTTTGTGGACTGAAAGAAGGTAACATTCATGATTTGAGACACAGAACTGAAATTTTCAGTTTTGTGCTAATAATTTAACGATGGGTCTCTATTTGATGAGTAACCAAGATGACTAATTAATTTCCTTTAAAAAAATATATATTCTTATATCTGAGCAGCACAACTGTCAGGTTTTCAAGGAAGAGTTTAAAGTCGTCAGCTGCAAATGTAAGTAGGGCTGAATAGAAAAACATTCTCAAAATTAATGTCTAAGATCCTGCACTTACATCACTGAGGAGTTACTAGTCTCAGCCGCCTCTTGCCTTTGTGTCAAGAGGCTTCCCGTCAATACTTGCGGAGTCTCCCTCATCTTCTTCGGATTTACAAGAGTAGCTGTATAGCTAATTTCTCCGAGAAAAAAAAAAGAAAAGAAAAACAGAAAATAAATAAATAAAAGTAAAATCCTATATTATATACAGTACATTAACCACTATAAGTAACAAATGCATTGATGTTCAAAAGAAATTTGGCATATTTTAGTTCTAAACTCATTCAAGGACGTCAATGATCTTAGGTCCTCTTTTCGTTTGTTCAATATGTTTGCAGAAGTGTATCTGAAGGAATGAAGACCATAAGAGGTTGTGTTAACGTATGAGATAACAAGTTTCCTTGATCCTCGTAGGTTGCGTTCAGTATTTCTCATTTGAAAAAGATCATCGTTCGGCATCGTTTCAAACTAGATTGCCTTAAAAACTGTTTTCATCATATCTTAGCACCTGATACTATACACTACACAGATCACTAGAATTGAATTTTCTCAGTAGCTCCTGGTAGTGCAGAGACTTCTCGTCCAGACCATCGTCGTGAACCTCCCCGAACCATTTCTGGACGTCGTCTATCTGCTACCTTCAAAGTCCTCGAGTGTGGTTTAAAAGAAAACATATTGCGCGGGAAAATACTGCGAGGGTCATTTCTGAACAAAACAAAAAGATGAAGAAAATAAGAAGCTCTCTAAGACGTTGAAGATTCGTATTTTCCCAATTAAAACTCATTCATAATTTCAAATGCAGTCTGTCCCTACGAAAACGCATTGCGAAACTTGAACGCGATAACCTTAAACACATCTTGGGATTGTACAGGGCAATCCCTATCCAAAAACCTCTGGATATTCCGAAGGTACCGTGGTATTAATTACCGTCCGGGATACGAGATGACATTTAAGAACTTGACCATCACTTGAAGTTCAGAGACTTTTAATATTCGGAGAGTTCTCATCTGTTAATTTTTTTCTAATTTGGATCCTAAAGACAAAATCGAAACTTTAAACTGCAGTGATTTTGATATTCCTGTTCAAACGTTGAAAGTATCTGCAGTCATTAATGGTAGCCTTCACAATACGTGTGATTGTGTTTCTCTGTCCAAAATACAGGTGAAGAGTCATCAAAAGGCCCAATTCCCCTAGGTATGGAAAGTGGAGTTATTACTGACTCGCAGATCAGTGCATCGTCCGTGTACAGTAATCAACATGTCCCACAAAATGCCAGGTTACAATTCAAGGGGGCCAAAGCCCCGTTTGTACCTGCTGGCTGGCGAGCTGGTGAGCGAAACACCAACCAGTGGCTTCAAGTGGATCTTCAGCAAACCACAAGGGTAATAGGCATAGCGACGCAAGGGAGACATGATTACGATCAGTGGGTTACTAAATACAAGCTACAATATGGCGATGATGGACAACCTTACAGTGTCTACAGGCGAAACGGAGACATATCAGACACGGTATAAACGAGAATGACTTTTTGAGCAAGATGCTTTTTTTCCTTTTTGCTGCGAGGGTGAACCAAAGAAAAACAAGTAAGAGTTTCCATGAGTTATAGAACCTCAGAGATTCGAATTTTGCGCTTCAATGCCCTAACGCTACGCCATAGCGACTTTACAGGCAGCTGAGCCATTACAAGGTTCAGCTGAGCTATTACGAGGTCCATCATATGTTCAAACATGAGCTTTTCTCTTTTTGCTTTTTGTGAAGTCGAGATACTTGAGAACGCTAGAGAACGAGTAGTAGAATTTAGTGAGATCAAACTGTATTAGTTTATATCTATATTTATGTTTGATTGCTGATAAACATGTAGAAAAGCATCTACTAAGGTTCTAGGTTTAGAGTTAGCGCTCCTGTGTAATGCATAGCTTCGTCAACTTTACATCCCACAATATTCTACTCAGGTTTTCCCAGGAAACACTGACAGGGACACAGTTGTGTATCACGATATTGACCCGATCATTGATGCTCGCTTCGTTCGAGTTCTTCCGATGGATTGGATTGGCGCCATCGGAATGAGAATGGAGCTTTACTCTTCTCAAAGTAAGTTACTGGCTGGATTATTGTGCTTCACTCTAAGAAATGATCACCATAAAACTTCTCCCTTTAATATAAAGAAAAACACCATTTAACTTGGCGAAATGCGAGGCAATAGCGCGCGTACACGACGCGTTCTATCCGCTTACGCAGGTTTCACGTGTTTCTTATAACATCCTCTTCAACTGTCCTATTACACTGTCCAATTACAAGCATGATGCGTACACTGTCCTCTAAGTGATCAAATAAGGCTAGTGATAACGAAATACCTTCAAACATTTTTTCATTCTTTTGATTACATACGTAATTGCAATATGGCAGTGAAGCTCAAACATTTTATACGGCATCCCAACCCTAACCCTAAACCCTAAACCCTAGCCCTAACCCTGACCTAACCCTAACCCTGAGCAATTTTTTAAGTAATGAACATGTAACTTCTTTTAGCGTTTATTTTCAGAATACGTCATCCAGCGAGCATACAGATGAAAAGATGAGATGAATCTATCAGCTGATAGGTACTTTTTCTGATAGAGCACCAAATTTTCTGAACTTGCACTATGTCTACTGGTAAACGCATAATAGCTGAAAGGATGAATTTTCAATCAAATCTTGAAAGTCTAACGGTTAAGGCGGGGGAATTGAAATAAATGGCATTGAACTATATTGTGCGTGCTCGCTTATGATGTTTTGTCTCCATATTTTCTTATTTGTAGACGAATAACAGAAGTTTACGAAGAATATCACTGTGATGTAATCCCTCCTTTGCTGACACGATGTAATCCTTGTTTGTGGGCTACAAAGTGCAACACCTACTTGACTGATGCACCAATTAATTATCGTTATTAATAACAGATTGAATAGTAGTTTAAGCGTATAAGTCATTATTATTAATGATGTGAGCCAAATGCACCAATGGCAGCACATAAAAACGCACCTGTGAAAACGAACGAACGAACGAATATTCTCTTTTTGGAGCCTCATGTTCAATTAACCTCAGTGCCTGACGAAGACCAAAGGTGTGGTGTTCGAAATGTAGCTTATGTTTGGATGGCCTCGATGAAAACCAAGGTAGTGTCTTGTAATAAAATATGTAATTTTTCATGGTCTCTTAACTACTTCAACAATGTAATTGGTTTTGTTTCGTTTGAAGTGGATACATAAGTCAGTATTCATTATGAAAAGAGCGGCAAGGAACCTCTGATGAGTTGGCATGCCGTTAAAACGTGTTTACCAAGTGTTTTAGTTAAACCTGCCAAAATGCAAATGAATATCGCGTGTGAGTGTATACTCAGATAGCCAGAGATATTATGCTTTGGAATTGTTGAAAATTAATAGCACAATAAAGGAACTTTGTACAGCTGTTAAGGTTCAGAGACTGGTATTACACTTCTTAGGGCGAAACTGGTATTGATTAATAATTATAATAATAATGATAAAAATATTGATAATAATAATAACATTGATTAAAAATTGGCAGTGAACACCTTGGCTCTTCTAGTCCGCAACAGGAAAATATTGAAAGTCCTTAACTTTTCGCGACAGACGAATCTGAGATTAATATGATAAAAATACTTCATTTATATAATGCTATTTCTATCGCTATCCAATAGCGCTATGCAATGATTTGAAAATATCTCACGTAGAAATATCTAGAACATGAGTACGATAAACTAACTAATAAAATAACTAAGCTGTCAAAATTAGTATAAAAACTAAGAACAATAAAACATCGTAATGAAATTTACTAACTAACTACCTACCTACCTATCTAAAGAACTATTTAACTGACGAACCAATAGTAAAATATCTGGTTAAAAAGCTTTCCTAAAAAGATGTGTTTTAAGATTGCGCTTGAATTGCAACAAATTGACGCTTGAGCGGATTTCCAGCGGCAGTGCGTTCCAGAGTTTAGCCGAGGCTACAGAAAATGATCTTGAACCATATCTGGTAAGTTTGTACACAACGTCAACCAAACGATGGCCAGTAATTGATCTTAAATAGCGTCTGGGCACATATTTTGTTATAAGATCGCAGAGGAATTTTGACGCTTAGCGGTTCAAGCATTTAAATGTCAATAAAAGAATCCTAAAACAATGCGCTCTTCAATAGGCAACCAGTGGAGTTTACAAAGTACTGATGTTATATGATCACATTTACGCGTATGAGTAACAATCCTGGCTGCTGCATTTTGAACGCGCTATAGTTTCCTGAGTGATTCCTTTGGTAGACCATACAAATATAAGTTGTACAGATGATGTACTGATATATAATAATACTGATAAATATTGTAATAAAATACGGATACTGTATCAGTGTTCTCCCTTATTTTAAGCATGACAGGTAAAATAAATTTTCAAACCGGTAAAGCAATCCTTTTACCTGTTGAATTTCAAGAATTCCAAGCGATTCTAAACGGTAATAAGAGGCACTACAGGCGGTAAATGTTACCGGTTACCGCCTGAAAAGGAGAACACTGGATACTACAATAGACTGACACTAAATTAAAGAATAGTTCCCTTGTTTAAAGTCACTGAACTGACCTTAATGCTCACACTTAGCGTTTATAGGAGTTCACGCATTTTACATCGCATTACTTTAACTTTTAGCAGTGATAAAAATGAAACTTATCCCTAGGTTCTTAATACATAATCTTAAAGCAGGCGAGAAAATGAGATGAATCTATCAGCTGATGGGTTTTGTATTTGATTAAGCATCAAATTATCTGAACCTGTTTACAAATAAAAGTATAGGAGCTGAAAGGAAGAATTTTCAATCAGATCCTGAGAGTCTAACGGTTAAGGCAGGAGAATTGAGAAAAACGGCCAAAACTATCTTGTACGTTCTTATTAATACTGTTTTTTTTTTCTTATTACTTTTCATTTTGTAGCCGAATAACAGCACCTTAAAAAAGAATGTCACTGTGATTTAATCCCTCCGTTACTGACACGATGTGATTGTTGATTTTGGTTTCCGAGAATAGTAGCTGCTGGACTGATTAGCTAGTTAATTATTGACAGTTTTAGCTTAATAGTCGCTCTGATTCATGATAGTAGCAAAACGCACCCGTGGCAGCACATTAAAACGCACCTGTAAAACGAACGAACATGCTCTTTTGGAGTCTCGTGTGTTCTGAATCGACATCAATTTCCAACGAAGACATCATTTCAGTCTTCTATTTTGCGCAGACATTAACCACTGTGTAGAAAACCCTTGTCTAAAGGGTGGATTGTGCAGGAATATTGCTAATGAGTACAAGTGCACCTGTTCTGATGGATACACCGGCAGCCATTGTGATCAAGGGGGATGGACGGCTTTTTTATACTAAACGGATATACTACCGCCATTAGAGCGACAACGTTAAGGACGCTACATCGTTGTTTTATTTTTATCCATCCTTTTGTTTTTATCCGCTTTTGCAGAAATACCACAATATTCTCTGATATGCAGATGTTGTTGGGATATTTTACGTATAGATCTAATCTTTTGAGTGTGTTAGTTCGCAGCACGAACTGCCGCGCCATGTTCAACTTCTTGACAGCTTACATACTGTGATTGAAAATAACAACATTGCTTACATAAACTTTTTAAAATTAGTTCAGTTTCCGACTTGGGCATACAAAGGCGACTTCACTGAAAGCTAACCTAACCTAACTTCTTTGAAATTGCAAACTGTTGGATGCTAATCTTACAGAATGAAAGATTTGAAGGTGAATCCTGATAGTCGGCTAACATGTAAGTTAAAGTGATATGAGACAAAAGAGTTTTCATTTTCGGCAGATGTCGAGAGTTAAGAGAGATCAGCCGCTTATTTTTGCAGAGTTTGATTGGGAATAGAATCGCATTTATCCTCGACTCAAGTATGACTGGCTATGTGTAGTTTACTACAAAGTGTGTTTTCTTTATGAGAATAAGTGTTGGTTACGAAGAGAGTTTTTCTTTTAAGACAATAAGTGCTGAATAAATTATAAAGAAACTGCCGGATACCAATTACCATTCCAACAACTGCATTGAAGCTTCCATAGTTTTAACAACAATTTGATAAACTGGATCTGAAATTTTAACCGGGTATCAATTATCATCTTCACAATGGCAGTAGGGCCTTTCGAGTTGACCAGAACATTTAAATGACAACAACTAATAAACTAGATTTGAATTTTAAGGGGAGGCGAAATTCACAGTTTTGTTTTGTTTTTGGTTTCTTTCCTTGAATAAGATGATATATTTCAGTGTTTATTAAGACAGAAATGGCTGACGAAATTAACACTTCACACGGACAAATATATTTCTCTTTAACATTTACTTAACGATTACAATATTAATTATTCTGTTATTCAGCTCTCAGAGCATCCTTTCAATTAGCCCGTCCATTGTAATAATGGAAAGAAATGTATTAAATAAACATCTATGGACTCCTTTTAAATTAATTAAAATCTTCCCGAAGCTGTTACAAAGTTGACTATAGGCACCGAAGGCGGAAGTATCGACCGAAAAAAATCTGAAATGAATTTTTTTCTGTGTGCTGTTTTAATTGTGTTATTATTGTCCGAGGTCATAGCATCTCAAGCATTTATTTGTAAGGAAGCGTCTCTTTCTTGTCCTGTGATAACTCGCAATCATCGCCGACTCAAAGGCTTTACGTTCAAAACATTTCACTTTGCAAGCCTGATATCTTGTGGTTTGCAATGTCAGAGAGACCCTCGATGCGTTTCAACAAATTTCAGAAAAGTTTCCAAAACTGGGGGAACCTGTGAGCTGAACGACAGAGGAGCCTTCCCTCTTAAGGAAGGAAAAGAACTGGAATATGACGAAGAAGCTATTTACACTCAATTATATGTCAAAAAGGTAACAAAAATTTGTCTTATCTATTTTAAGTAATCATCCATGCAAGAGGTGGGCATCTTAAAAAAGTGTGTATGTGTCTATCTACTGGAACACATCTAAATAAAAGACGGACAAGCTACGATCTTCTCTTTGTCACGAGAAGGGAACTAGCTTACTGATGAATTCTCTGTTAGAGGAATATCAGAACACGAAAGCCTCTGACCTGAGATTTTATTTTATTCTTGACATCTCAGTCTGGTAAATACTTATCTTTTCGACGTTAGAAGTAAACATTTATCATCTGTCTCAGTAATGCGTCTATCCCTTGATCCCTGTCAAGTTATAGTATGGTGCGATGTCGGGTTTTCATCTCTCTTTATAAATGCGAGTGGAGAATGATTAGCGGCGTTACTGCGAATGTTGACTTAAAAAAAATAAAATAGGCTACTTTCCAAATTTTCTCTATCTTTAAAAAAATGATACTTGCAAAGTGTTCCGAAGCACTATAAGATTAATTGTGTTGAGTCTTCTCAAATAATTTTGTGGATTGAAAGAGGGTAACAGTTATTTGAGACACAAAATTGTAGTTTTGGCTTTAGGCTAAAAATTTAAAGATGAGTTTCTATTTGATGATTAACAAGGATGACTAGTTGATTTCCTGATTAAAAAAAAAAAATTTTCATGTCTGAGCAGCATAACTGTCAAGTTTTCAAGGAAGAGTTCAAAGTCGTCAGCTACAGATGTAAGTAGGGCTGAGTAGAAAAATAATCTTAATATTAATGTCTAAGATCCTGTACTTACACCACTGAGGAGTTACTCGTCTCAGCTGCCTCTTGTCCTTGTGTCAAGAAGCCTCCCGTCAATGAGTGTCCCATCGTGATGAACCTCCACGAACTATTTCTTGACCTTATCTGCTTCCTTGAAAGTCCTCAAATGTGGTTTTTAAAAAAATTATTGAACGGGAAAATACTGCGAGGGTCATTGCTCCACAAAAAAAAAAAAGATGAAAATAATAAGAAGCTGTCTAAGACGTTTAAGATCTGTATTTTCCCAATTAAAAGTCATTCATAATTTCAAATGCAATTTGTGCTTACGGCAACGCATTAAGCACATATGGGGATTTTACGAGACAATCCCTATCCAAAAACACCTCTGGATACTCCGAAGGTGCCTCGGTATTATATACCGTCCGGGGGTACGAGATGACCTTAACCATGACTTGAAGTTTAGAGACTTTTAATATACGGAGAGTTCTTACCTGTTAATTTTTTTTTCTTATTTAAATCCTTGAAAAGAAGTCGAAACTTTAAACTGCACTGATTTTTATACTTCTGTTCAAATGTTGAAATCATCTGCAATCAGCGGTAAACTTGTCAATATGTGTGATTGTCTTTCTCTGTCTAAAATACATGTGTGGAATCACCAAAAGGCCCAGTTCCCTTAGGTATGGAAAATGGAGTTATTACTGACCCGCAGATCACTGCATCATCCATTCATAATTATAAGCATGGCTCGCAAAATGCAAGGTTACATTTCAAGGGAGACCCGTTGACGCATGTATCTGCTGGCTGGGCAGCTCGTCTGCTAGACACCAAACAATGGCTGCAAGTAGATCTTCAGCATATCACAAGGGTAATAGGCATAGCGACGCAAGGGAGACATGATTCAGATCAGTGGGTTACTGAATACAAGCTACAATACGGCGACGATGTACAAACTTACAGTGTCTACAGTCGAAGCGGAGACACATCAGAAACGGTATGAATACTAATGAATTTTTGAACAAAATGTTTTTTTTTCTTCTTGCTGGGAGGGTGGGACAACGAAAGAAAATCAAGAGTCCCTAATAGAGCAATAGAACCTGAGACCTTAGAATTCTTCACTTCAATGCACTAACGCTACACCACAGCCACCTGACAGGCAGCTGGACTATTACGAGGTCCATCATATATTCAAATATGAGCTTTTCTTTTTTGCTTTTGGTGGGTCTGAGACGAAGTCGAGTAGTAGAAATTAGTGAGATCAAACTCTGTTAGTTTATATCTATATTCATTTTTGATTGCTGATGAACATGTAGAAAAGCATCAACTAAGGTTCTCGGTTTAGAGTTACCGCTCCTGTGTAATGCATACATTCGTCAATTTTACATCCCACAATATTCTACTCAGGTTTTCCCAGGAAACACTGACAGAGACACGGTTGTGTATCACGATCTTAACCCGGTCATTTATGTTCGCTTCGTTCGAGTTCTCCCGATGGAATGGTCTCTTCACATCGCAATGAGAATGGAGCTTTACTCTTACTCTTGTCAAAGTAAGTTACTAGTTGAACTTTTTATCCCTGGCTGGATTATTGTGCTTAACTCTCAGAAATGATCAACACGAAACTTCTCCCTTTAATATCCTTACATTATCCAGCAAAGAAGTGATGAGAATATTCAAACTTATCAGGTAGAAGTTATCTTGATCTTACACCAACTTCTCATGACTAATTTACAAGGATATGTGTAGCACTAGAGGGGAGAATTAACAATCAGATCTTGGGAGTTAAACGGTTAACGGGTTTTACGCAGAGACGTTCAACCCTCACAACGACTCCTTCCAACAAGTGAAATCAAAGGATCAGTGTGCCGGCAAGGGAGGGGGGGGAGGGAAATGGAGGTGGGGCAGAGGGGAAACTCAGCGCAATGGACTGGTTTTCATTAAAGAGTCCCCAGGTCTAAGGCCAGTTATAATGGTAATTGGACTGGGTGGAATTCAATACGGTCGCTAATCATACAAGTGATAAATAAAATCAGACGAACGCGAAGCAAGAGTTCGATTTGTCAATTACGAGTATCATTACCAGAAAGAATTGGACGACTCGAAGTCCTGTTACCAATTAATCAAAACATTTTGGAAAGAGACTGGACCTTTACATTAAAAACAACAGTTAAATCGGCGAAATGCGAGACAACAGCGCGCGCGCATGACGCGCTCTGTCCACTTACGCAGGTATGACAAGTTGACTGTCCCTATAACTCTCCTATTAAACTGTCCAATTACAAGCATGACGCGTACACTGTCCTTTTAGTACTGAAATCGGGCTGGTGATAACCAATCACGTTCGAGAATTTTTTTTATAGTTTTAATTACATACGTAATTGCAGTATGGCAGTAAAGCTCAAACATTAGATATGGCATCCCTTCAATTTTTGCAGTAATGAGCATGTAACTTCTTTTTAGTGCTTATTTTTAAATACATTATCCAGCGAGCATGCAGACGAAAAGATGAGATAAATCTATCGGCTGATAGGTATTTTTCCTGATAGATCACTAAATTTTCTGAACTTGCATGTTTACTGGTCAAAGTATAAGAGCTGAAAGGAAGAATTTCAATCAGATCTTGGGAGTCTAACGGTTAAGATAGGGGAATTGATTGGCATCGAGCTATATTTTGCGTACTTGCTTATGTTGTTTTGTCTCCTTATTTTTCATTCTGTAGACGAATAACAGAAGTTTACGAAGAATATCACAGTGATGTAATCCCTCCTTCGCTGGCACGATGTAATCCTTGTTTGTGGGCTACAAAGTGGAACAGCTTCTTAACTGATGCACCAATTAATCATTATCATAACAGATTAAATAGTAGTTTAAGCATATGAGTCATTATTATTCATGATGTTAGCGAAATGCATTGATGACAGCACATCAAAACGCACCTGTAATAAAAACGAACGAACGAATATTCTGTTGTTGGAGCCTCATGTTCAATTAACCTCACTGCCTGACGAAGACCAAAGGTGTGGTGTTCGAAATGTGGTTTCTGTTTGGATAGCCTCAATCATACATGTCCAATACATCCAAACCGTTACGATTCGTCTATGGTCGCTGACGAATCAACACACCGGAAGTCGAATCGTGCGTTAACATACTGGAAGTGGAGGGCGGTAAGCAATGTGTGAAATGAGTAGCATGGTATACCGGAAGTCGAATCGTGCGTTAACATACCGGAAGTCGAGGGGCGTGAGCAATGTGTGAAAATGGTTAGTATGAAAAGAGAAAATGACAACATGAACCTTCCACGTTTTAAAGCGTGAAACGGCCGGAAGTCCATTGTCAGAATGTTATCAATATTAAAATGAACCTTCTTCCTTCCTAAAGGGTTAAATAGGGGCATTGAATGTTGACCAATCGACACGATTCGTACGGGTCGACACGACTCGTCATCAGTAAAGTCGATCCATCTCACCGGAAGTCGATTCGCAAAAGAAGACAATACATACTTAAGCGTTAAATTAGGGTATTCGTTCGATTCGAGAAAATCTGCAACCCCCTTTTGTAACCACTTGCGGAATATTTTCTAAGTATCTTGCAAATCGACTTCCGCTGTGACGGGTCGACATCAACTGTGACGAGTCGTTCGATTCGAGTCGAATCGAGTCGATGCGACAATATCTCCAACTTCCTTTCGTAGTTACTCGCCGAATATTTTCTAAGTGTCTTGCAAATCGACTTCCGGTATGACGGGTCGACATCAACCGTGACGAGTCGTTCGATTCGATTCGACAATACTTGTAACCCCCTTTCGTGGCCACTTGGGTTATTAACAAGTGTGAGATTAACGGGGCCAGATATTGACTAATTTTCTTCTGTTGTATATTCGTTTTCGAACCTCAATTTCGTCTTAGTTCATAAACATCCAAAAAGATTGAGAGCAGATTCAGTCACTTGGTAAGATTTCTACCGTCGGAATGGCAGTCTCACATACCTAGACGAGTTGAGCTTTACATGTGTTAGCTTGAGAATCGTTAGTCTGCTGTTTTACACTTTTAAAAGTTATTGGATACTTTCGAGCCCCCATTTCCTAAAAGTTCAGTTGCGGTGTCTCTGTTTGGCGGACTGACGATTTGGCAGGACAATTTTAAAGAACAACTTTGGTCCCATGGTCTCCCTTCCATTGTCGCCACTGGAGATCTGGGAACTAGGTTGAAAGAAGAGGTCACAGAAAGAAGACTGCTTAAATGACTTAAGGCGTACTTCAAGCTGGATTCTGCAGACTGAGGAAACGGAAGGAGGGGGGGATGTTACAAGTTTCCTCTATTCCATGTTAAATTTAAAGTCCCTCCTTCTTAGTCACAGCTACTGAGATTAAAGTTATTTACCCAGCATCATCATGAACTCCACAGGTCATACAAACTGGTTTCATTTTCGGTAGGGATTGAAGGACAGAGGTACCTAGGACAATTTAATCATGTTCTGTTAGTACTTGATTAAGCGGGCAAGTTCGCTCAGGAAGCAAGAGTATAGTCTCCTCTGAGTGACTGGGGAGATTGGTCCTTGAAGCTTAAGAAGAGCGACTATTGTCAAAGGAGATTCGGATATTTTCGTCACTTTTCAAGAGTTCTTACAAACCTTTAAACAGCAAATTAAAACAAATCGGGGAACATTTGTTACTCCAGTTTGTAAAATTTGTCATCGTAAGCAAATTCGAATGGTCATTTAGTCTCAGAGCGAACTGAAGAATTGTAACGAAAGCAGGACGGAAACTGTCAAGGGTTCAATTGCTAAAAGCCTGTTCCTGTTACACGAGATGGACGGTAATAATAGTGGGAAAGTTGTACTCTTAAAAGAATGTATATAAAGTAACATTTGTTCCCCAACTGAGAGGTTAACTATCGGGCATAATTGTAACAAACCGAAGATAAAATAAACACGCGCTTTTTCTGAGAGGAATACCGGTTTTTAGATATTAATTGAGAGAGAAATAATGACGCCCATAGTTTTCTTTTAAATAAACAACTTCGTTTAGTATACTTAAAAATTCTGGGGCGTTTCAAGCTTTCTACTGTTGTCTCATGATGGGGTTTTTGTTTTCCATTTTTTTCCGGTCGAAAGTGGTAAGTGATTTGACAAGGGGGTGCATCCCAGAATAACCCCCCTCCTGGCAGAACATCCCCAGAATACCCCTTCTCTCCTCAGGAATTAATCACTATCAAAATCTGAAGTGAACACACTTTACTGCGTGACATTCGAGATAACACCACAGGAAAAATAACTTAAAACAACCCTTCTATGTCGGCTAAGATCATAATCTCAGCCAGAGGGGCTAATTATCATGGCCGAATTTGAGAAGAATTTCTCCTACGAGGCTTTCAACAGCCGATCCTTCTGCGCTGAAGGAGTCCGTTGAAGTCGGCAGTCCTTGCAGAACATGAATGAGACTGTTTCCTTCCAAATAATTGCTCTCTATATTGGGAGAAACTAATCGTTTGATAATTCGTAAAAGCTGTTTTTGTTTCTTAACGTCAGCGGCGCTCAAAGCCTCCGCAAAGCACTCCATGTTTTCCTCGCTTAGAGAATCCTCATAAATCCCTCCAAAAAGTTCCACCATTAGATACAAGCACCTACAAGAACTGTCTCTCACATCCAGGTCCTCGTGACAGAGAAAGTTGATAAGCAAGCCAGTCATGTCGACCAGCGGTTTACTCTCCACAAGGAGCTTCTCCGCCAGTTGCGTCTGAGCCTCGTTGTCTGGTCTCGCCTCAGTCTTCGCCTGCAGAGCTTTGCGTACTTCTCTGGAGACGAATTTCAACGTGTTATTCAAAGCATCGAAAAGGGGAAGCAACAGCGCCACTGAGGGGTCATTTCCAGTAAAATTTTCCTCGTTTTGTGCCGACGCAACGTCAACGAAAACGGAAACGAGGATATCGATTAAACCTTGGTCGTATAACAAAGAAACGTCAACATCTTTGGCAGAAACCAAACAGTCCAGTAAACCAACTGTACTCAGCACCATTCCCCTGTCGACTCGGTCGGTGTGGGACTGTAGGATCTGGGACATGGTAAGAAGAAGCTTTTGATCCACAACTGTGTGGATGATGTCGGGGCTTCTTTCCAAGAAAGATAGCAACAGTTTAAGACCATATGCTGGTAAAGGATCTTGGTCTTGCAGGATGAGATGATACTGAGGCAGTAAGTGATTATTAATAACCTACGAGAAATCAATGACAACAAGTACATTACCACTTAAAAAGAGACCTTCTTTAAAAACGCCAGACGCAAAATGTTTCCACTAGATGAATTTAAGGCTTGGACTAAAAAAGGAAAGTGCAGTAATTAATTACAATAAAGAACTCTTCCATGCAGAAAAACTCTAAGGAAGAGAGAGCATCTCACCTCATTTAGTTTGCTGGTACTTTTCAACACATCTTCAACATCACTGGAGGAATTGTACACATTATGGTTATCAAGATACAGCGACGCTACATCGGCAAACATTCTGAAGCTTAACACTCGTGTATCTCCATTTGTACTGCTCATCAGAGCAGCCAGATGAGGCAGGATGTGTTGCGTGACAACAGCGTGATACTCCAGCAGTATAGGAGGGTGTTGCGTGATTGCTTCCGCAATAGACAACACCACGCTGATAAGGTCTTCTGCTGCGTTCGGTCCCGCTGCTGATCCAATGCTGGTGCTTCCAGAATCAATTGAAGTCACATGCGACAGAAGCAAGCCGACATTGACGAGAAATTCTTCATTTGTTACTTGAGAACGAAAAGCGTGACTTGTAACGAGGTGCAGAATGATGGACAACAGTGGAAGGTTTGTCCGCAGCTGCTTGGCGTGACTCGCCGAGGGATGCTTCCTTCCTTGAACCGCATCCAGAGACGCCAACACATCCAACAGGATCCCGGGTACCGCTTCAACGATGGCGGACATGCAAATATTCTGACACTGCACAAGATAGTCTCGATTCTCCCGGCTCTCGCCTTTAATTGGGGTACCTCTCTTTAGCTGCCGCTCGATGTACATGACCAGCCGGGACTGGCAGCACATGAGGAGGGCTTCCGGGCTGGACTGGATCAAGGTTAGGACCAGAAGGAAGGCCTTTCCCCGGATAACCACGGATGGACTCTCAAACAGATGAAGACCCTTGGTAGCCAGGTCTCGTTCTTGAACAAGCCTTCGCATCTGAGGTCTGTTAGAAAGCAGCACGACGAACATTGTAACTAAACCTTGCTGGATCTTAGGAATGCTGCTGGCCAAGGCTGTGCTTACTGCTTTAAAACCTGCCTTCTCAATCACATGTTGGAAGACTGTAGGTGAGTTAATTGTCAAGCGACTGAGCGCTGAAATCGCTGTCACCTTCTGAGCATCAATGGTACAGTGAGTGAAGAAATTCCAAAGAAGCTGCGCAAAGATAACGATAAAATAAGATATGATTTGTAAACCTCACTTCTATCAGGACAACACCATCTACCTGATTTTTTAGTTCATTCTCATGACCTGTTTGTTGATAACGCTCTATCATCATAACTATGTATTTAAAGAAAATTATCCCAATTGTACCTTTTTGCGATTAAATTGTTTTCTCTCGCAATTAACACAATCAATCGCCACTCAGTTCTCGAGGAGTAAATTAGTTAACTCCGAATCTTGATTGGCTTTCGTAATTACTTCAGTTCTGATTTATTCCGATGATCAGCCATGACTGGTTCTAATCCTCTTAGTTTCAACGTTTATTTAGTTTTTACCTGAGCTGTGTCATTTGTGGCAAATTTCGTGCAATGTCTGCCATGGGTTGACGCCACGTTCTCAATGGCTTTAGCAGCAAAGTGCTGCACCGCGATATCTTCTCCCTCATGTAGACATCTGGTGACAATAGTGAATGTGACTCCTAAAGGAAATACAACCAAGTTGTAATTGCAAGGTACATTTGCCGCCTCCGTATATACCTGGAAGTAAAACTACGACATACTTCCAATTTTCACTTCAAGGGCATCCTGAAAGAACTGAGTAATGAGTACAGAATGAGTTTCGCTCAGAACGATGGATGTCCATCCCAGAGGTTTAAAGTAAGTACGTTGAGATTCATGTCCGTGTTGTTGTCTGCAGATTTCAACCACTAGACTACGTCCGTTAAGTTTCAAAATTTATTTATCGGCATTTGACGAACACGAAGTAGAACAATACCACAAGATGAGAAAAGGACTATGAACATATGAAAATCATATAATTTATAGTCATATATTTATATTTTTCAGTAGTGAAAATAAAAGCCTGAAAAAAATTCAGACCGGTACGGGATTTAAACCCATGATCTCTGCAATAGCATTGCAGTGCTCTACAACCTGAGATAACAAGCCAGCTGGGAGCTGGTAATTTTGTTAGTTTGTAATAAACCCCCGATGGAAGATTTGGTTTATTTGCGTTGCATTCAATTGTTTGCCTACAGATCCTTTCAAATTCTTTGTCCATCTGTATGTCATTATTTGAACACTGGACTAATAAAAGTGACGCGTGTAATTAGGGCAAGTTTGATTGCATTTCCATAATCAGACGTTTACATACATGTACCTGACAACTAAAAACAGCAACACCGAAATGCTTAAAGAAGGCCTGTTGCAGTTACCTTATCTGTATGAGGCTGACCCTCTGAACACATTACCTGGAACGTCCCACTGTGGAATTTCACCTCCTAAATTTTCCTCCTGAGTCGCAGCATAAAACAGAAACTCGCCCAGGGCAGGCAAAAGATGTTGCTTGAGCTTGGCATTCCGAAAGTTGTCCCTGATCACCTCTGTTAATACTGTGAACACTTCTGTCATGTTGAAGTCCTCAGAAATCATTGTAGCATTACCAGCTAAAAGACTGAGAGCATATCCTTTCAAATAACAATAAAAAATTATCAATTCATCATTTTAGGAGTTTTGATACCTTTTTCCATAAATGGCTGCCAATGATTTAATAGGTACCAGTGCCCTACAAAGGCCCCAAAAGCAAAATGCAGGCATGAGAGCCTACTTGCAAGCTAAACAGACCACAGTAGGCGGGCTTACAGGCCAAGGAAGACACAGCCAGTAACCAGCTTTCATGGAGACCCCTGCATTTATTGCAAATCCTAGGAATTTGGTGTGAACCCAAACAATATCCACTGGCTTGAAATTTTCCTTATCTCTCTACCAGTCTGTTTGACATTGTACTACAATTCTGAGGAGAAATCAAGTATTGATCACTCTCGGGAGTGTAGGGGTTTATTCATCCGATGCTATTGAAACTGGGGTTAAGTAATGCTTCAATAAACCACTTGGCATTGGGTACATAGACTAAAACTTTTAATCTCTGTTATGCAGAAAACTAACAACTGTATGCTTCTATTAGCTGATGGCCAGGGCAGGTTGTTCAAAGCTAGGCAGACAATCCTGGGTTAATGTTTGATCTTAATTCAGATCTGGAGGTTTTCAAAGAAAATTCAATACAATTCTTTTTGTCTAAACTTTCATTACAGTATTAGGTGCTTTAAAAAGAATACAGAAAAATATCCTGAAAAGGCTTTTGAACAAAGGAATGAAAGAAAGCTGAATGAAAATTTAACCTTGGCTTTGCCCCAATTAGCCTTTGAAAAACTGGGCGCAGGAATATACTTGGCAGAGTTTACAGACCTTAGAAACATACTATCATACTCAAAATGGGGTATGGGTAGTACATGTTGTTTGTGACACTTACCAAGTCTTGATTTGAAATCAGCTGAAAAACCAGACTTGATCTGTCTCAGCATCACTGGTATAAAATCTGAATCAAAGACTTCATTAACAATCTCTCCATCTCGGCACAGTGATGCCAAATAAGATGCTGTGTGTAATTTGCTTCGGTGAAGAGAGGCAACAGGGCCAGCATTTGCTCTGTCATTTTGACTCAACAAACTGCTAATGGAAGTTAAATGCTCTTCAAATTTTTCTCTTGGAAGGTCCACAAGCTCTCCTGGTTTTAGAGGTTGACAAGGTAGTGCCTTTGAATCCCATTTGGGAAGGGAAAATTTCTTTATGCGAGGGTTATCAGCAATTGGTGTCACAATAAAATCTGATGGATGACTCACTAAATCTGAAATTTTGTTATGAGTTGGACTTCTGTTGTCTTTAACCTGCTGATCCTGAAGTACTGAACTTGTAGATTCCTGAGCTTCACTTTGATTAAGTCCATTCTGTTTCAGCTTATTGAAGTCTGATTTTTTGAACGTTCGATTTTGTTTCACCAGGTTTGACTTATTGTTCTTTGATTCTGAAGTTCCAAAAACTACATTTGTTGAATCTCTTTTTGCATTTTTAGTTGAGTTGGACTCACTCTCATCTTGATCATCTAATGTTTTTCTTCTGACCACTGTATGGGTTTTGCCTAGAGATTCATTTTCCTTACTACTTGAAGCAGGATCAGCTGTATGTGGCCTGCTGCTGAAGGTATATGTTCCCTGCCTGACGATCTGTGCTGGCAGATGTAATTGATCACTCTTGGTTTTGACATGTTCTTTCTCTTCTCCAACATTTCCACAGTGTAAATCTTCACTCTTCCCTTCATCATTTAATTCTTGCTGATCTTCAGTTTCTGCTTCCCCTTTGATTTCATCAGCAGATTTAAGCTGATTTTCTAATTCACCTTGCCAAAAGCTGTGTACTATCAGATCTTTCCAGTCTAAACGCTGTGTAGGATCTTTCTCTAACAGTCTTTTTATTACATTGTCAAGGCCATGTAATGCTCCATTTTTTGCACCTTCCATGTCTAATCTCAGATGAGGAACATTTTCGTGAAAAATTTTTGTGACAAGTTCTGCAAAAGAATCTGCAACAAAAGGTTTTTCTCCTGAAAACAATTCATACAACACGCACCCAAATGACCACAGGTCACTTTCTTTAGAATGAGGACCCCCACTGAGTACTTCAGGGGCCATGTAGTGGGGTGAAGGTTTGGGTCGCTGGCTTTGATCCTTCTCTGTATCTCTATAATTTTTGTCCTCGTCGTCAGAATTTTGTTCTTCTTGTAAACTGTCATAGAAGTCGTCCTCTCCTTCAACTCTGGCCAGTGCAAAGTTACTGAACTTCAAGACACCTGCTCCATCGAGCATTATCCTTGATGGTTTCAAATCACAATAAAGAATTCCAAGGGAGTGAATGTAGTACAATGCTTTTGCAATTTCAATTCCAAATTGCCTGACAGTTTCCACTGGTAGACATTTATCTTGAGACAGGACGGCGTCCAAACTGTCTCCTGTACATAACTCCACCACCATCCAGATGTGATTTGTTGTCTCGTACCATTCACGAAATTTGACAACATTTAGATGATCCATCTCGTGGGTCAGTCTGACAATGTTTCGAAGCTCCAGTCGCTTGCATTTTTCAACACAGTGTATCGCTACAAATTCAATTGTTCCTTTCTTACGACCTTTGTAAACCACAGAGTGTTCTCCTCTACCAACTTCATCGTACAGTATGTAATTCTCCATGTTGATAAAGGTAGCAGATCCCGCCTTTTTAATATATTTGTCCCCTACAAATATTTTAAAATTTGTAAACAACCGTTCCCCGAATCGACCGCCATTTATTAACTCAATGATACTGTTGTACTATGGGTAATGCCGTGACCATCCTCCCTTCCTCTGGGGGGTGATGTGCAATTTTCAAGAAGAAAGCATGGCGGACGATAACGGGTAAAGTTGATGTAATTCAGCCAGGACAGTTTTTTGTCGACAATGTCGGAATTCGCGCAAATATCACGCTTTAAAGAAGAAAATAAAAGGGTAAGGACAGAATTATAGACTGAAAAAGATAGATAATGCGTTCATTTTAAATAATTTTTCGAACTATCATTTTAGGCTTTGCTGGAACGCCAACAACGGCTGCTCACGTGGTATGGAATTTACAAGACACTTTCCTTATTCGGGACTCTTTTCACTGGTTTGACTTCTTCTACGCGATTTTGTGAATATATGTATCAGGGTTGTGATCAATTTTTTTTTTATATGTCATGCAGTGAGAGATTTAAGGAAGACTATGAAAAACTTGAGGCTCTATTGCAGACTCTTCCAAACAAAACATCCCACGAGGTTATGGTGAGTTTTGGTCGTGGGAGGGGAGGAAGCGTTTGAATATCGTAGTAAAGTTTTAAATTCTTTGAAACCACGGGAACAAGGATCTCTAGTCCATTAAGTACACACCTCATTGACTTGCACTCATACCTGTACCTCAAGCAAAATTTATAGAAACCCGAAGAAGCACTCTATATTTAACAAGGTAATTTGGTATTATCAACTAAATTAATAACATAGATTGGCTATGGTTAAGAGTGTCAAAGCTGACTTTTTGAGCGTTAGCCCCATGTCTTTTGCTCTGATAAAGGGCTAATGCTTGAAACATCAGCTTTGAAAATCTTTACAGTTGCCAGTTTATGTTATCAACTCAGTTGATGAAACAAAATTACCTTGTTATACTCTCCCATCGACACAGCACAACAGTCTTTTTATGAACTTACCCCCTTTTTTACTTTATTTTTTGGTTTGCTCATGCTTTTCAGAGTGTATGAATTAGGCTATTCATAGAAGAGACATTCATTTTCTCAGTAGCTCTTAGGCTTCTAAGGGTATTGATGGGGTTAATGCATGCAAGTCCTGAGGTTACATTTACTCTGACAACAGAATGTTAGGTGAAAATGATATAGACTATGATGAATTTTAAAAAATAATAATTTTGTCATCAGGTTCCATTTGGATCTGTGGCTTTTATGCCAGGAAGACTTATTCACACTAATGAGATTATGGTGCTTCTTGGAGACAATTGGTTTGCTGAGCGTTCGGCTAGTCAAGCTCTTGAAATGGTGGAGAGACGAAAAAAATGTACTGTCTTTAACTTCATGTACATGGTAATGTTTTGTGATGACAGAGGACTCGTAGAAAATTGCATTTTGTCAGTCTTGCTTTTTATTTGGTCTGTATGTGAGCTGGGATGTTGCGTGGATAGGTATATACTGTATTTCTCTTTAAACCCTTAAACTTCCAGAAGTGATTCACATGCAACTTCTCCCTACAATATCCATACAATATCCAGCAAGCAAGTAATGAGAATACTCAAACTGATCTAACACCAAACTTGATCTAACACCAAATTCTTGTAACTAATTTATATGGAAATGTCTAGCAGCTAGAGGGGAGAATTAACAAACAGATCTGGTGAGTTAAAAGGTTAATGATTTTGTGGTGCATTGGGAGTTGTAAAGGACTTGGTGCTTTAAGGTCTTTATGGTTTGATGATGACTTTGTAAGGATTTAGCCAACAGAAGGTTTTGCACCTAATGATGTTTGGTCTGATGAACTGAAAACCATTCAACTTTATTGCTCAACTGAAAAGTGTCATTTTCTTATATGGTTACATAAAGATACATAAATGTGCCATCCAAGTGTGTTTTTAGTTCACAGTATAAGTGAAACCACTTTATACGCTTAACCCTTTAACTCCAGGAGTGACCAAGACAGAATTTCTCCCTACAATATTAATACAATATGAATCAGGCAAGGAATGAGAATAAAGAAAAATATCAATTAAGTGACTATATGTTAATCCAAATCCAAATTCTCCAAAGTAACATCATAAGTATTATATAACAGACAGTAAAGCGATTTTCTAATGAGATCATGGGTTAAAATTTCATATTATTTTTTTTTTCACTGGTCTATCTCAGAAGGAGAACAACACCACATTGTTTTGTTTCTTCTTCTGGTATATTTGTATCAGTTTGTTTAGATCAAGACCAAATTATGCCATGCAACTCCTAGAGGCTTCACTCGCATGTATTTACGATGATCTTTCCTTTGTTAGATCTGGAGAAAAATATTGCTGGGATTAAGGAAGACTTGAAGAATTTTGAATCAGCAGTAAACTTTGCCTCAGAAATTCAGTCTATTGCAGAGGTAAAGTGCAATAATTTATGCACTTAAAAATTACATTGAGATGTTATTTTATTGAGTAAATATTAAGATGCAGTGCTAATTCAGTGGAACTTGGATATGGTAAAGTCTTTGTGGGAAAATACATGTTTATTGCATACAGGTAGGTTGCATAATTTAATGATGACAAATATTTCCATGCTTATCCTGAAATTCAGTGTTGAACTGTTCACATTCTGAAAATTATGCAACATTAATATTTGCTGTTTTGCTCAGATAGCCATTCATCTCTGTGAATAAACAATAAAAATAAATAAGTCTGACGAAATTGTGCTAGAAATGCATGAAATTTTTCCTTTCACTTATTATGGTTTCTTAGGAAAATGCAGATGTAAGAGAAATCAAAGAAGAGCTTTCATCACAAGAGGAGGAGAGATTTTCAAGTGAGATTTTTTTCTTTTTTTTTTCTCAAGAAACTTCTATATTCATTTTTAAACTTAACCCTTGAACTCTCAATGTGATTGTTAACCCTTTAACTTCCACTATCTCATTAGTAATTCTCCTTACTTTCTGCTATACAGTTCTTGTGATGTTAGTTTGGAGAATTTGATATTGGATCAACTTATAATCCCCTAATTGATATTTTTATTAATTTATTCTCATCACTTGTCTGCACAATATTGTGTTGATATTGTAACGAGAAATTCTCTCTTAGTCACTCATGGGAGTTTAAGGGTTAATCTCCCCTCTAGATGTTACACATTTCCTGCTGAATTAGTTGGAAGAATTTAGTGTTAGATGATAGTAACACCTTCTATGTGATAAGTTTCAGTATTCTCATTAACTGTTAGGTGGGTAATTTTTGGATCTCATAGGGAGAAATTTCATCTTTTAAAATCAATTCTGGGAGTTAAAGGGTTAATTTGAGAGCTGTTGATAAAAATAAGTTTTGCTTATTTGATGGGGCTTGAATATTTGAATTCCACTGGTTCACAAATTGGGATTATGAGAGGGGAGTCTATTTCAAATGCACCCCATGATACCTTCTCAGTTACACCTTTGATTAAGTGAAACTTGAAATAAGCTTCACTCTTTAACCCTCAGAAAGTGATCAACTTGTAACTTCTCTTTGCAATTCTAATATGTTACCTTGCAAACAGGTGAGGAGAGTAGCAGTGATTTCCAGCAAGAGGGTGCCATGTTATCATTACACCAAATTGTACTGTCTAATTTACAAGGAACTGTACAGTAGGTAGTAAGGAGACTTGAGGTGGATGACTTTATGATGAGGTTCTAAAGATTTAACCCAGAGGGCACATATTGTACCCCATGTTGGTGTGGTCTGATGAACTGAAAGTCAGAAAATAAACCTGGATCAAAATTATTTATATCATGCCAGTAGGTGGGCAGGAACTTGTAATGTCATGGTTGACTCTTGCTTGCTGTTTGTTTAGAAGTCACTCTTTTCTTTATTGGTAGCTCAGCATTTACGAAAGGCACACCCTAAGGCTGAAAGATTTGGTGGTACGAAGAAAGTTCAAGGACTTAAGAGTGATCAAAAGGATACAGTGACAATGAAAGGAAATAAGGTACAAAAAGTGTCTTCAGAAGACTTGTCTTTGCTTGCAAGACTAGATGAACTGGAAGAAAAGGAAACTAAGAATGCTGAACTAGACCAGGTTGGGAAGGATGATTCTGGTGATGAAAAAAGCATAACCACAGGTGAACACACAAACATACAAGGAGATGCAAGATGGGGACTTCATCATAAAGACAAAACAAATGAAACCAAAAAGAAAGTTACTTGGGAGGTACATGATGTTAAGGATGAGACTGTGGTAAACTCAACGGATTCCACTACAAGTGAGGATGATGACGAGAATCATGATAGTGATGATCTACAGACCACAATTTCAGTCAAGTTTAGCTCTTCATCAGAGCACTCACAAGGGCAGGTTAGTATAAGTTTTTATTTTACTGTGTTGATGTTTAAATACCTGTTATCACTTTCACTCCAGAGATCTAAATTTCAATTCTCTACATTGAGCTGTACATTCATACAATTTTAGCTCTGAGTATTTTGTTAAATCTGACGGTATGCACTACCTGATATGTTTCTTACTTCTCAACATCCTTCTGCCTGCAACTTTATCGAAATTGTAAGGGGAAATTCGGTTTTTGTTACACATGAAATTGAAAGGGTTAATATACAGTGATAATGATAATGATGTACAGTGTAGCTCTCCGATTACAAGTACAGTGTAGTGCTCTAACCACACACTCATGTTGCCTCTTGAGTTGGTATTTGTGTAGAGAGGAAAAGATGTAAAAAATCTAATTGTTCTGACCTTATGCTGTACTGGAGTTGGTGCTTTGACTTTGATTAAATTATTTTCTCATATCTTGCAGTCTCCAAAGGATTCTTGTGAAGAACCTACTGTTACAAGCCCAGCAGACATCTACTCACAGTTTGCTTCTAAAAAAGAGTTAAAATCCATTTTGAGAAGGCCTTCTGCTGAAGAAAAAGGCAAAAAAAACGTTGTAGAAGAGACATCTGTTACTACACAGCAATTTCCTTCTGATATTGTCAAAGACAACACGCAGATAGCAGACTTTAACTCTCAGAAGGTTAGTTGGATCAATTGGAGCAGTTGGGAGGGTTTTAACTCTTTAGACTTAACATCATAATGCTTATTCTCCTTACTGTTCTCTATACATTTCCTAGGTTCTAACAAGGAGAATTTGTAAAACCATCACAAGCTTTATTAGTTGCCAATCATTTCCTTTAATTTGATACCTTAATTTGATTCAAGGGATAGATTGTAAAGAGAAATTAGAACCTTGTCACTCTGTGGGATTAAAGGGTTAAACTTTTAATGTTTTGTTGTTCAGTGGTAAATGAGCTCATACACTGGAAGATTGTACAGTTGATTCAGAAAAGGGTAGGAATACAGCCTACAGAGTTTGTGGTACATCTTGCATCAGTGCATGATTAAATTTTCAAAAGGTTTACTGTTATGAAATTTCCTTCCACTGCAAAAGGGCTGGGCAAATTGATGGATCCAGTCCCTTCACACCCTCAGTGTGAAGGGACTGGATTTACATGTGAACCTGTGCTGCGGCAGTTATGCATGACACAGTTTTCACGGTACCCTCTCCACCCAAGAGTACAAAATGGTACTGGTGAAGAATGTGTGCATGTGTGTGTGGGGTGGGGGGAAGGAAGGGAGGTGAAACTGGGGGAGGGGAGTGGAGGATGTAATTGTTATTCCCAGTTGACTCATTCTACACCAAGTGAAAGAATCATCTACGGACTCTATGGGGTAGTTTTTACAGCTAGCACATGTAAGTGATGATGCATCTTTTGTGTACTTGCCTGGTTTAATGATGATTCAATTCCATGCTTATGCTGAGAACTTTGACATGAGTTCAAGGCAGATATTCTTGATTCTGAAAACCAAGCACCAGTGTTTCTAGAACCATGGTTTTGTGATGGATGACTAAAGAACTAAATCTTAATTTTCCTCACCAATATGTTGGTTTGTTGAAGTGCGTGTTTTTAAGTATGCATTGATACCAAATTTCTAACTTACTTTGTTTGCCTGTACCCTGATCAGGCATTTACAGGGAGTATAATTGAAAAGCCTGCTGTGCAGATGATCAGACAAGAGAGTTCTCACTTGCAGGTATGGTAATATTCTTCTTTTGTTAGGGAAGAATGGGCGAAATACTTCAGACTGTCCAATATATCTCTGAAGGAGATCAAATAATAACAGCAACAATTTTTGTTACTGTCAGTTAAGTTTAATCTACATATGGTTGCCAACATGATTTTATATGCAAGTCGATTTTATAGACTTCCACTTACTGATAAATTTATATTTACTCTTCTTTTATGAACAGTCAGGCACATCCCAACCTGGAAAGAAGCTTTCAAGATTCAAAGCCACAAGACAGAAGCAACAATAACACATTCTTAATTGTGATAGCAGTCAAACTGGTTTTTGCCTGACTTTCCCCAGATAAGGGGGAGGGGGGGGGGAGCTGGAAACACAAAGACCTCAATTCCTCCCTTCCGTTATCTACCATGCTCTGAAGAGTGCAATGCTGCCCTATAAAAATATTTGAAATAAATCTAATTTTGTGTATGTAACCTTTGATTCCACCTTTGGTGTGTCCAGTCAAGAACTATTAGTAATTAGGAAGAAAACCACATGATCATAGTAATTTGATAACTAACAGCTTATGATTAAAAGCTGCACAGCACCACCTTCCACCCGACTGGAAGTACATCTCAGGCCCTATGTAGCCCAAGCCATGCCATCTTTGCCCAGTGTAAAACACACTCAACACTCTTTATGATCTCATTATCAGTTCTGACAAAAGCCTATAACCCTTGGTCATAAGATCATAAAGTTCTGGTTCCCACTAATTAAGCCCTTATCCAACTAACAATGTTTTTTGCTCCTCGCCTTGCACTGATCTTTTTTTTCCTTGAAAAATGCTATTAAATTATGCCTGTTCTGCATGCTAAAGAAACAGTAGAGCAAAATGTGGAAGGTTTAGAATCAATATTAATACTACCAGGCACAGTCAAGCTTTTAGATTCTTAACCCTGTAACTCCCAGGGGTGACCAAAACAAAATTGCGTTTTAAGAAAAAATGCACAAGTCGTCAGAATAACACGAAGTTCACTCCACATCCGTTGCAAGCTGTTTTTGTATCAGCAACGCTATAAAAGTCACTTCAATCTGTTGCTGCAAGTAAACTAGCTAAAAACTCATTTAAAGGGTCTGAAAAGATAAATCCAGTGTTAGAGGGTGCTGGCAACTTTGAGAATCACAAGTCAAGGAGGAGGGGTTATCAAGTTTTTAGCGTGAAACTAAAATCAAAGGTGACAATTTCAGTAGGGCAAGTTGTCTTGCCCAAAGTCACTTCAGCCAAAATTTTCAGTCCTGTTGATTGAAATCCTTTGAGAAGCATGGTGGCCAATGAAAAGGGAAACCATGTGCACACAGGAGTGACAAATAAGTTGAACACAAGTTACAACAAGGAAGAGACTTCAAACTTCCTATCTTTAAAAACTTTATTTTCCATACTTTTTCCAACTATTAAAATTTACTCGGCAAATGTCAATAGGTCAATAGTTTTCCTAGAGGTCAAGAATTGGTAAAAACCCTGCACAGATCACACTTGCAGTTTTTTTTCATCCATGCTTATATCATTCTTAATTGCAGTGACAAGGTGTTGTTTTTTCCTTCCCTCTGAATGAAAACCACACATAGACTTGGTAAACCACCAGTAAACTATAGTTGTATATCTTCAAGCATTTTCCTGTGCAGCTTCACTGGCTTGGTCCTGTTTTGTGAAAAATATTGTCTCATCAAACTGTTGTACATCATCTGCAAACATATCCTCAGGGAGGGGATCCTGGGGATCTGGGAAATAAGTAGGGAAGGGAGGAGGGTGTCCATGTGGCTTGTAAGAATCCTGAATTGTAATGAAGCTTCCCTTTTTGCCTGGACAATTTCCCAGGAGGTAAAGGATATTGTACTTGGTGTTGATACGAAGAATCTGGAACAAAAAAAATGAAAAACTTCTTAACACAAGGCTTATGATTTGTTCAGTCATTGTACATTTTATTTAAGACCCTTTTTGTTTGGATCTACAGCAAGGTACTATTTTAATTTGAATTCTGACAGTTTCCAAATAAACATTACTTGTTCAAATTACCTTGACAGCAAGGAATGTACAGCTATTATTTCCCATGTGACCAGGCATCCTCTTTCCTGGCCAGATTCTTCCAGGATCCTTATTTTAAAATCAGAAAAAAAAATGAATTATGGAAGAAAAGTAATTCACTGCTCCTTGTTGAGTGGTTACTGCTACCAACAAATGGTCACAAACATATCTTGTAAAGAAAAAAGGCTTCAATGCCATCAGGGCATAACCTGACGGGAAACAACTAAAATTAATGTCAAGCTCTTCTATAATAGAGGAAACAGAAAAAGCAAGAGCAAGTTTCCTTCCCCAACACAGGCCATATTTGCTTGCTTCATTCTTTAATCCTCTTTATTGACAGCTGGCCCAGCTATGATAGACTTGCCATGTTTTTATCCCAAAACTATCTGTATATTCAATGACCTAGATTACATGATTTGTCTGTGTTTCATACCTGCCCGCCTCCTGTTGCTCCCATTTTCCTGTGTGTTTTTGAATGGCCATGAGAAGCTGGTTGGCCTTTCATCTTCCACCTTTTCATCACACCTTGAAATCCCCAGTCAATTCTTTGTTCACGAGAAAAAAAGAATGCATTATGTTACCAGAAACTGAAATCCAAGTAGTATTTGAAAGAGGATCACTGAGCAGCAGTTGCTGGCAAATTTCCTAAGCAGGGAAAGAGCACATAGACCACCAGAAAAATTTAAAGACCAATAAATAAATGCTGAAAGTTACATCTCTGGCTAACTCTTTAAAAAGCATGTTATAGATGTTTTAATGGGTTTAAAATGAAGAGAGAAGAAAGTAACCTACGTGACTCCTTGAATTTTAACATGCTGACCAGGATAGAAGTGAGTTGCATAAAGGGGTGTTCCTGTTAAAATTAAAACAAAATATAAACACAGCAACTCAAACCAAATATCAATTATGGAATAGCCTCA